CTTCACTTGCTACCTGGAACAGAATGACCTGGAGGAATAGCTGAAACATGGGTTGTTTCCCTTAACAACCTGCTGACTGCTACTTATGCTTCTATAAAATCCTGCTTGCTTGCCCACCCTACCTTGTGGTTTTAGAGTATAAAATGAGAATGCAAACTGGACCCAGCATTGAAACCTTTCAGGAGATGTCCTGGCTTCAGTCCACCAGTGACGTCTCCTCTCTTCCATTCCCAATGAGTGCTTATTCCAGAAAGATTCCTGAAACATACCCAAGAGCCTGCATCTGCCCCTTTGGAAAGGTGGGGCAGTCCTGTGTCACTCAATTTTGTATAATTCAAGTTCCCATAAAGCACTGAACTCTACAGTCTGATGGGTTTTAACAGAGACACTGTTAGTTTCTTGGTGCTTTCTGTGCGTGTGTGTGTGTGTGTGTGTGTGTGTGTGTGTGTGTGTGTGTGTAAGTTCAAGATAAGATGAGGGAACTGGATCAGAGGATGACCCCAGGGAAAGCTCCACATGGTAACTTATCACAAATCCCAAAGCCACTCATTTTAAGGAAAAACCAAACCAAACCAAACCAAAAAACAGAATGTTTAAAGTTGAAGCAAATTCCCCTTTCAACAGGAAACTGATTTTTCTGATTTCATAGTTTTTCTTTCTCAAGAAGGGTCTCATACTGCTTGCCACACATCGTTAACTGATCGTCCTTGGGGGAAGAATGAGAATTAGGTGGGACAGCAGGGGGACACCTGGTGATACAGTGGGGCCTACTGTTTGCTTTAGAGGAGCAGAGAGGTGTGGACATGTGAGTAGAGTCAGAGCAGAGTAACAACCAGATAAGGAGTAAGGAGTTACATGCTTTCTCCTTGAGCCTTGTCGTTTCCTGGGCAGCAGAGGAGGGAGGTCTGTTGTCTCTGAAAAAATAAGACAAGATGAAAAGAGACAACTCAATGGGCCTGGAACACGTAGTCACACTGGAAAATGATTCTGGAAGAGATTACCAAAACTGAAACTGAATTTCTAACCTCAGACTCTCCCAAAACAGTATTTGAGCAAATTCAGACCTCAGAAAAAGAACCTGATTCAGAACACGGAACTTGCGGATGTCCACCATGTGACACTTACTGAGATATCTGAAAGCACCAGTAAAAAAACAAAACACAGCAAACAAATGGCAGATAAAGGTGTGTGGAGGCCCACAAAGTTTTCCTAGTGAGATCCGAGCTTGCTTTGTTCAGCAGAGCTGCATTAGAGGATTGCTTGACCACGTGCATGGGTATTAGGTGATTGGAAGGGTCTACACTTGGCTGAGCTAGGGGGAGGTCTTTGCTCCACCCCTTGGCATTCCTATGAATAGTCCTTTAGAAGGGACAGAAGGGGCCAGTGGATAATGACCCAGGCCCTCCTGAGGCTATCCTGTAGATGAATTTCTAAACAGTTTTATTAAATAAGAAACACAAAGCCAAATACAGGGGTAATAGCCGAAGAGATCAGAGAAATAGTGAATAGCCACCGACAAAACCTTAGCTTACCACCTTGCCGCTGTAGGTTCCCAAGAGAGAGCTTCTTCCTGTCTAAACTGCACTTTTATTGCCTTCCTGTTCTGTCTTCTCATTGGCTGTAAGCCCAGCCACATCACTTCCTCATCACTGCCTGTCTATACAGACCTCCAGGTCTCTGTGATTGGTACTGGGATTAAAGGCTCCTGTCACCATGCTTGGCTGTGTCCTTGACCACACAGAGACTCTGCCTGCCATGTGATTGGATTAAGGGCGTGGGCTACTACCGCCTGACTTCTGTTTATGGCTCGCTATGTGACCTCTGATCTCCAGGCAAACTTTATTTATTAACATACAAATAAAATCACATTTCAGCACAATTAAAATATCACCACACTATCCTGTGTTTCTGTTTCTCTCCCCTCTATTCTTCTATCTAAATCTCTTATCCCTCTCTCCTCAAGAGTACACTGTCATAAAAAAATGGGAGCTGGTCTCCCACTAAGGTAGAAGAGTAAAATGGTTGTTTCCAGAAAACAAGAAAATGAGACAATTCTCAGTCTTAGGAATCACTTCTAAGTGAAAGGAACGAATCTTTTGAAAACAGGAACTGATTCCAAGTTGGGGTGAGAGAAAGGGCAAGGTGCACTGAGGAGCTCCTGCTGGCCACACTGCAGAAATTCACTCCCAAGTCCAAAGAAAATGAACGGGCAGAGGGAAAAGTTAGTTACTCTGTAGAAGAATAAAGGGTAATGATACATAATTAATGACATAATCATATGAACTCCCCTTTGCCACTATTGATGTAATTGTTTATTTGAGCCAAGTCCCCAGTAAGTGCTAAGGTCATTAGGTGAAAGTTGTTGGAGAACTGTATCACAGTTAAGATAATAAAAGCAACTGTAAATCTGATGGAAAGGGCCTTAATCCCGTTATCAAACTCGGCACTGCCAACAATGGGGCCAATTAGGATTCCATGGTGTTCGATGCATGATAACCATCAAACAAAATAAAAAAATAAACATTTACCAGTGAACACAGATTACACTGTAGACCAAGGGATTATTCTTACAAATTGTAGGTCTAAATTCTGAAACTCTCTAGAATCAATTATTGAGAGATACAAATAGGAAGAAAGTTGCAGAAAAGGAAGCAGAGGGACTGAACCCGAGGGAAGTATGGTTGACACGTGCTCACAGGTGCAAAGATGCATGCACGTGACACATGTACCAGTTACTCTCGTCACACTGGGAAATCATGGAAAAATCATTTGGGCAAGAAAATATAAGGCAATGTTAGCAGGGATGAAATTTATTTATTTATTTTCCTTTTTTCTTTTTTTTTATTGAGATTTTCTATTCATTTTACATACCAACCACAGATTCCCCTGTCCTCCCTCCTCCTGTCCCCCAGCCTTCCCCCTCAACCCACCCCCAATTCCTACCTCCTCCAAGGTCTCCCATGGGGAGTCAGCAGAGCCTGGTACATTCAGCTGAGGCAGGTCCAAGCCCCTCCTCCCTGCACCAAGGCTGTGCAAAGTGTCTCAGCATAGGCACTAGGCTCCAAAAAGCTGGCTCATGCACTGGGGACAGGTCCCGGTCCCACTGCCTGGGGGCCCCCTATGCAGTTCAAGCTCAACAACTGTCTTGTTTATCCAGAGGGCCTAGTCCAGTACCGTGGGGGCTCCTCAGCTCAGAAAATTGGAAATCAATCTTCCTTAAGACCCAGCTATACCACTCTTGTGCATATACCCAAGGAATGCTCAATCATACCACAAGGACACATGCTTAACTATGTTCATAGCAGCACTGTTTGTAATAGCCAGAATCTGGAAACAACCTAGATGCCCCTCAACTGAAGAATGGATAAAGAAAATGTGGTACATATACCCAATGGAGTATTACTCAGCAGAGAAAAACAATGACATCATGAAATTTTCAGTCAGATTGATGGAACTAGAAAATATCCTGAGTGAGGTAACTCAGACCCAGAAGGACAAACATGGTATGTACTCACTCAAAAGTTGATACTCGATATAAAGCAAAGGATAACCAGACTGCAACACACAGCTCCAGGGAGGCTAGTTAGTAAGGAGGATCCTAGGAAGGCTGTATGGATTGCCCAGCGATGGAAAAATGGATGAGATCTACATGAGCAAACTGGGGGGTGAGGGGAGTAATGGAGGACAAGGGCAAGGGACGGGGGATGAGAGCTTAGAGGAGCTGGAGGTTCGAGCTGGAATGGGAACAGAGTGGGAGAGCAAGGAAAGAGATACCATGATAAATGAATACACCATAGGAGTAGGGAGAAACAGAGTGCTAGGGAAGTTCCCAGGAATCCACAAGGATGACTCCACCACAAACTACTGGCAATAGTTGAGAGGGTGCCTGAGCTGACCTACTCTGGTGATTGGATGGCTGAATACCCTAACTGTCATCATAGAACCCTCATCCGGTGACTGATGGAAGCAGATGTAGAGATCCACGGCTGCGTCCCAGGCAGAGCTCCAGGAGTCCGATCGATGAGAGAGAAGAGGGATTCCATGAACAAGGGATATCAAGACCATGACTGGAAAAAGTACAGAGACAACTAGCCAAATTAGTGGAAACACATGAACTGTGGACCAATAGCTGAGGGATGAAATTTAATTCAACTTTTCATAGAGTGTTTTGACGGCATCAATCAAAACATTAAATGTGCACCTATTTCATGATGTCTAGCAATTTATTGTAAACGTTCACATCAAGTATGTAAGATAAACACACAGAGATATTAATGATGTCCTTTAATTTCAGCAGTGAGACACTGGAAACAGTCTCTAAGACTGTATGAGGAAATAGAAAGTGAGCAATGGGGAGAGGATGAAAAGTGGTGCCCACTTCTCAGTTGGTATCTTTGCCATTGTTTTGAAGACAAACTTGTTTGTTGAAATAACAAGTGAATCTAATTTAATAAAGTTGATGTCCATTCCAGACAGAACTGATGGACGCCATAAGAATCTTTCAGAAAGGGGACAGACTCTCATCCTCCTGAAAGGTTTTATTCTTTTGGGCCCCAACCCATGTAGAACAGTTTTTGTTGGTGTGCTCTTGTAGACAAGGGGATTGCCCAGGAATGGGGCACTTTGTCCCTGATGGGCTTCTTAAAATCTGTTCTAGAAAGTTGGCTTGGATGAACGGAGTTAGGGAGCTAAACAATAGAGCCAGGGAAGCCTGAACACAACCTGAGGAAATTACATTTTCTTCCGTGGCTTTGTAGTCTTGAAACATCTTTTCAGGCAGAAAAACTCATCTCATTCAGTATTAAAGTGGCTCCTAGGTGACTACACATCTACAATTTTTGCAACAGCCATTGAACAGAGATACATTTAGAAGAACTAGTGTGGCATGTGTCGTTGTCTGCTGTCTGCAGAAAGTCCTTCAGGTATGCAAGTATCCAATATGATACTTCTCTGTTGTAGATGTAACCAACCATCTTATTAAATAAGAAACACAGAACCAATGCAAAGAAGAAAGCCAAGAGATCAGAGCTAAGAGCCTTACCCATCTGCTGCAGCTAGTCTCTTCAGCCAAGAGAGAGACTTACTTCCTGAGTGTTTGTCTTTATATAGACTTTCTGTTCTGCCTTCTCATTGGTTGTAAACCCAACCACATGACTGCCTCATTACTGCCTGTTTGTACAGACCTCCAGATCTTCTATGGTTGGTATTGAGATTAAAGGCGTGTGTCTCCAATGCTGGCTGTATCCTTGACCACACAGAGATTTACTTAGCTCTGCCTACCAAGTGCTGGGATTAAAGGCATGTGCCACGAATGCCCAGCTCTGCTATGGCTTGCTATTAGCTCTGACCCCCAGGCAACTTTATTTATTAACATACAAATAAAACCACATTTCAGTACAAATAATATATCACCATACTCTGTGTTTCCCACCTTCCTCCCAAGATGCACACAGACCTATTGGAATGTAGTGTGAGATTGATTTTATGTTCCCTCACCTCATACTTGGGAAATACGTTCCATTCTTATGTTGAGGTAAACAGATTTTTGCCAAGATGGTATATATGGAATATTACCTTAAGTCTCAGAAGCACTAAAGAGTAAAGTGACCTAAATGCGGGGTAGGATTCTAAGGCTGTAAATGAGGCAATTCTGCACAGCATCTTGGCTTATGATTTGAAATTTCAGACATATCCAACTTCCTGTCTTCAGTAGAATTTGTGTTGTGATTTTCCATTAGGTGTTTCAGAACTGAAATAAACATAGTCTCATGCCCGAACATCACCTTTCCCCAGTATAATTCCAAACCCAGGAGAAAGGGACAGCCAACATACCTTCCTAACCCGGTCTGCCAGGGAGAGTTGTCTGTAAGATTCCACATTCACTGGACATGTAGTTACAGCAAGTGCTTGACTTAATGAGCCCACTGGGAAAACATTTCAGCCTCTTATTGGAAAAAGGCCTTCAAAAATAACAGGGCAAATAGTTCCAGGTCTCTGTGACCTGAAGCGTCTAATTAAGCTGAAGAATTACTAGTGCATCTTTGAGAAAACTGAGGCCATGAAGCCTGATGAGTCAGTGAGGATGCTTTGTCAGGAGGTCATAGAACAGTGTGGCTTAGCTCTGTCCCTGGTGTTGGTGGCAGTCACTGTGGAAATTCTTGTGTCCTGGATACTCTAGGACAAGGGCACACTCTGCACTTAAATACTTCTAAAGCAAACTTACTTGTGATGTCTTCACCTTTTAGGAAACGGAATGATGAAGTCCAAATATCAAGAAAAGGATTGCAAAAGCAATCACTGAGAGACATAGGCCACGTGGAGAGTTTGAGGATATAGATGGTACACTAGTGATTTAAACGTCTGTATGCTCTTGGTACAGTCATTTAGAGGTGAGATACATGAAGGAGAGTAGATGGAGGAGGGAGGGGATGGGCAGAGGGGTGTTTGTGAGAGGATCCCAAATTATCAATCAAACATACACTGTCCTCTGGTGGTCAAGTGTGAAACTGCACTGTCCAGGTGATTAATAGTGGTTAAAAACTAAAGTCAACCAGGTACTTCACAAGGGGGGAATAAGTCACTTGAACCATTTGGTTGAATGTTCCGCCATCATTAAAGTTGAATGGCTCATCTTAGAGACTCCCCAGTTTTATACGCATTTCCATCTTTGGCAGTGGCTGCAAATGGAACTGCATCAGACTGAGACCCACGCTGTCCCTCTGAGGATTGGAACATCTTGTCAGCAGATGCCCATTTTATCCTCAAGAGAGCGACCCACACAGCAGTTAGTGAGCAATCAGTTACAGTTAAGTAGAAAACCTTGACTTAGGCTGACTTCACTTTGAACTTGCACCAAGGCCCAGGGATTCTTATTTTTTTAAGGATTGATTTAGTTACGGATTTTATGTATATGGGCGCTTTGTCTGCATGTATGTCTGCACACCAGAAGAGGGCGCTGAGCTGCAGACTAGAGGTATAGACAGTTGTGAGCCACCATGTGGGTGCTGGGACTTGAACTCAGGACCTCAGGAAGAGCAGCCAGTGCTCAGTTGTCTCTGCAATTCTCTAGGATTTCTTGTAGTTTACACAAGGAAATGATGCTCAGCCTTGTAAATGCTGGGGCTTTTTCTCCTCTCTGCTTAATGGGTTTCAAGATCAAATCCTTCATTGCACGTGTTGGTGGCTTATTCCTTTGTTTTAAATAAGTATCCCATCATGGTTCATAAGCATGTCAGAATTTACTCCTCTTTTCTCTTATTTATGGACATGAACTTGTGTCCAGTCCTCAGCTGCACACTTCTTATGGTTGTACGTATTCTCTTGTGGAGTTTGCTCTCTCTTTCTACCATGCAAGTCTGCAGAATCAGACTCAGCCTTGGCAGGCTGGCAGGCCTGGCAGCGAGCACCTTTACTTGCCCTCTTCATCTTGCTGGCCCACTTTTGCTCCGTGATGACTGAAGAGGATTGAAGTTTGCCATTCTAATAGATCTCAGACACCGTATTAATCAGGTGTAAGCTATTGTGAACGGACTGTTACACCGTGAAATTGTCAACTCTCTTGATTTCTTAATGACTTATTGACCTTAGTGAGGGGGAATTACAAGAAATGTCTGGTGAAATCAGGATGCTCATGTCCCCAGGCAGGGTTAGGAAGAGTGTGAAGACCAGAAGAAGCCTGTGATGCTGGAGGTGGGGCAGTTCTCTTATCTGCAACACCATGCTGATGTAGAGGAGGATTGCAAATGCATTCACACATTTGCAATACTTGAAAGCATGGTAGGTGGTGTCTGGGAGGAGTGTCAGTTCAGGTGGAGCAGGAAGGCCAGCAGGAACACAGAAACAGACACAGGAAAGTGTGCATTCTGAGTGTGGCGTGTTGTTAAAAAGGTGGTCTTTCTAGTGCTTCCGACAAAGGGCTGTAAGTGCCCACGCATTAGTTTACAAAGAGATGTGCTGGAGCATATAGTGAGGGTGCAAATGGGCTGACCTGTTCACACCTGCCCTCAGTCATTGTAGGGTCTGTGAGTGTGCAAAGTAACATTGCACATGACTGACTTATCCAGGATGGTTTTCTTTGTCCACATTCGCTTATTTCCAATCCGAAGACTCAACTCCGTGCTCTATGTCCAAGAGAAGTCCTGTGTCCTCTAGCTCCAGTTCTTTTCAGTCTTTGACATAGCAAGGTAAAATTTACAAAGGGCAAAAAAAAAATACATAATGTGTCATAAAATAAAAGTGTCATAAATAATAACCAAACGCTAAGTACATTCACATGATTGCGTAATATAAACAGCTTTTCACTCCCCCCAGCATGACATGTGATCTCCCTCTCTGCCCTAAAAACAATCTCTATGAGACTGACACAGTATTTTTTAATGTTTTATGTAAATATCCACATGGGTCTCTTTGATCAGTAGCAATTTTCCTTGAGGGTATAATGCTGTACACGCAGTTGTGCAACTTACTTTTTTCAGTTCAATGACTTTTAGCACTGAAAGATGTGCTAAAAGTATAAATTCATACTAAATGACATTAAAGAGGAACAAAGACTGATTAGTAGCTCAAAGGAAATTCTATATTGCTAACTCCTAGATTCCATATTTTATGTTCTACAGGTCCCCAGATCTGAAGATCAGCTTTTTGGGCAGCTCCTTTCACTTTATGCAGCTTCCTCTCTGGACACAAGATGGCAGGAGCTCTTTGGTATAAACAGAGTTGTCATTTTCACTAAGGTGCAATGGAGAGCAGGACTAGAAAAGCTCAAAACAGCAGGGTCCTGCTGTTCTAGACAAGGGAAAGAGAAACCTCACCTCTAAGGGCAAGCGAACAAGGTGGAGAGTCCACAGTCGCTTCTTTAGGTTTACTGGAAGGAAGCAGAGACAGAAACCAACCAGCCAACACAAAGCCTACACCAGAGTGAACATACAGAAGCCAGGGCCGAGGGCATTGGAGGCCCTTCCTGACTAGGCTGCATACAATTTGTGAAGCCTGCAAGAAACGGGCGCTATGCCCACGATTAGCAAGGGTCCCGTGGCTCTGGCCAGTGCTGTCTGAGCTTTCTCCTCAGCTCACCAACCCACTCCAAAGGAAGTGCTTTCCTTTCCTGATGACCACATGTCCCTGTTCCAAAAGACACAGAACCTGGCAGATTCCAGCGGGCGCCTGAGGACTCAGATCTGCCCCTATAACACAACCACCGACAATAAATTGTTTGGTAACTATTTTGGAAATGCTTCTTTCCCCCACAATCCTTTTATTAACTTTGCAGGCATTGCTTGGTGGTAGAGTCAGGACCCTCCTGCAGTAGAACATTATTGTAAGGTGTGTTACTTTTGTTTATGTTGCATTTGTCCAGAGCCACATAACTCAGACGGAGCATCGATGAACTTTAAGCTGAGGAGGTTTCAGGCTGCTATTCTGTTTCTCTAGCACAGCAAGGTACTGCGATATTAGGAAGGAATGGGTAAGAGGCACAGCCCAGCATGGTTACTGTCTTAAGGGTGCAGACACCATGGTGATGAGAAGTGAGCTTGCGGGACTGGTTGTTTCCTTAAAGAATCAAATCAATACATGTGCTATGTTCTTTTGTCTCCTGGACATCAGTTAAAATAGGATCAAAACAGATTGCTTCCAATTAAAATGATTTTAAGTAACTGTATTTTAGAAACAAAAATACAGCTGTGCAGTCCAACAAGTATGCTCCCTTTTATTGGACCCAATAAACTAAAACCTTTATTTTTAGCAACTCTCGAATGTTCTTCAAATCTGGAACAATATGTACACACATGTGCTTGTAAATGTATACATTACATCACACACATATATCATGATGATGGTGATTTGCTCTCAGGGGAAGGATTTTTATTTGGAATAATTATCAAAATATTTTGAGCTAAGAAGGGCAGGCAATGTACAGAGCTGAGCAATATTAAAGTAAAATGAATTTTGGGCTAAAAACAACGAGCTGGCCTTTTAAACATTCAGTTAGCAACTGTGACATTTACTTTCTCTAGCTAAGGAGCCCGGTATCTTTGAACTTGAATTCCATTAAGGTGAGTATTTATTTCTGCTCCTCTTCATTAATAAGTTATAAATTTGGGTGGTAATTTCCTTTGTACAAACTCCATCCTATTTTCTGGATTATAACACTAAGTAGACACAGAAGAAACCAGCACCCTCAGACAGCACGATCCAAGAAGGCAGCACGTCTTCAGCTACCCAGCACAGTCCTGCCTTCGTGAACAGCCCGTGGGAAGGGCTTTTCACAGTCTCTCTTCATTCTCATGTTTGGGGAGTAAACAGTCATTTATCCATTCCCAGAGTGGCAGAGATTCATTGCTAGACAGACAGTTTAGCAGTCTGCAGTAGTCCCCGGTGCGGGAGAGGCGTTCTTCTAGCGACTGCTGCCATCTGCTGGTCTCGATGGGAATACTTAGGTTTTAGAAAAAGCGGTGCACAGGGCCCCGGTCAAGATGATGCAGAAGGCAAGCATCATCAGTAAGTAGTTTCGGAGACCCTGAGTAATAAGAAAAGAATGGATGCGTTGAATAAAACTGGAATCAAATTTAAATTTACAATACGGATATTTTAAAAAGACTGTCATGGATGTCGTGGACCTTTACTGACTCATCTGCTCTGGCTACCGGTGTGCTGGCCCGACTCTGACACTGTCTCTCATTCTCTCTCTCTCTCCCCCCACTCCCTCTCCCGATCCCTTCCTGTTCCTTTCTGTCCTCTCCTAGAGATCAACAATTCTCCCAGGAAAACCTGCAAGAGTTCATCCACTGAGTAACACACGTGAGTACCCTCAGTGCCTGCCCTGAGAGAAAGGTGAGGGCTTTTAACAGACAACCACCAAGTTGTTTGTGCATGTGTTCCTGGACTCTGCATAGAGCTGGTTTGGTGAGTAGAGTTGGGCCTCTGACCCTGAAGTGTTGTAGCCCAAGAAAATGGGGAGCAGCAAGTGGAGATTCCTGGAGGGAAGAATTTATGTGCAAAGGCCCTTGTTATTAGGAAGCAGGGCTGTTTCCAGGGCAGTTTCAGTAAGCCTGGGGCAAGGACAGGCAAGAGCAGGATGGTGAGGATGTGGCTGAATGGCCAGTGGAGAGTTTGGGAGCCCATGGGCCTAACTATGCTTTGGGATTCTACTTTTCCTGGCAATGAGAATGGAATTAAAGGAACAGGAAGCCATACATGCTGAAAACATTAGATTTGCATTCTGGAAAGTACACTCTTTTAGAGGATGGGAAGCAGATTGGAGGGGTCAGAATGAATGTAAAGAGACCGAGGAGGTAACCCTGGTCCCTGAGAAAGATGATGGGATGGAGATGGAGTGGTGGAGATGGATCTAAAGAAACAGAAAGAGAGGTGTAAGGAGTGAGGATTAACTTGTCCTCCTTTGATGGGCACTAGTGTAAAAGACGGAAGGCATGGACAGGCTCATCCCGATGCAGCTCAGTATTTAAAATGTTTTAAAAATTTAGACTTTCGGGACAATGAGACAGGTCTGCTCCTGGCAGCACCGATTTACTTCAGAGAGGAGGATGGGCATCGAAGACACTCTGTATGGAGTTTATCTTCTTCTTGGCAAATATAGCCATTTGGGCAAGAAACTGTTCTTGCCTGGACTGCATAAAAAATGTATGGACTGGACATGCAGGACCCATAGGAAGGTGACCACTGAACTTTGCTTGGCGAAATGGTCCTTCAGGTTCCTGCTTTGCAGAGGAAACTGCCAGACATTCTACAAGACACAGAGAGAAATGACTGAAAGACTCTAGGCCTGTGGGCTAAAGACAGATGCCCCAACTTTACAAAGGAACATTAGGTGACTGTCCAGGCTGCCAGCTGTCTTTGTCTACCCTGCAAGACTCCCGAAAGTTGCTTACATCCTTCTCTTGTTTCTCAGGTAATAGTATATCCTTCTGAGGTCTTTGATGTAGTTGAAGACTAGAGTTATAATTTCCTCAGTTATGATAAAAGATAAGTTAGATATAAAACCTTAGACTCACAAATATAAGATAGACAGGATATCTTCTTTAATATAGTAACTGTAATTCTTGCTTTGATAATTGTTTTGTTATGCAATTTTACTATGCTAAAGTTAAAACCTTCCTTTTTGAAAAAAAGAAAAAGGGGAAGTGCTGTGGATGACTGATTGATAAATAAAACACTGATTGGCCAGTAGCCAGGCAGGAAGTATAGGCGGGACTAACAGAGAGGAGAACTGAGAGAACAGGAAGGCAGAGAAGGAGATGCTGCCAGCCGCCGCCATGACAAGTGAGATGTAAAGGTACCGGTAAGCTACAAGCCATGTGGCAACTTATAGATTAATAGAAATGGGTTAATTTAAGATATAAGAACAGTTAGCAAGAAGCCTGCCACGGCCATACAGTTTGTAAGCAATATGAGTCTCTGTGTGTTTACTTGGTTGGGTCTGAGCGGCCGTGGGACGGGCGGGTGAGAGAGATTTGTCCTGACTGTGGGCCAGGCAGGAAAACTCTAGCTACACTCAGTCATCTTTTGAGCCACAAATAAAATATCTCCCTGAGGTAAACAGAAATATTTCATTTCCATAAGATCTATTTTTAGGGGTACACATAGATCGATTTCAATATCTCCCTCCTGAGATTAAACCTGCAAACACCGGGAAACAACGATCTTCTCTCCCTGAGCAGCTTTTCCTGGTCAATATCTTAGCACCTTCAGCCATTTTTCACATAGAATGGTTTCCAGCACCCTCTTTGTCTTGACTGTTCCTTCTGAATGATGGCCAGTGGGTGTCCACCTCTCTGTACAGATAGACTCTGTATGCTGCTGTAAGGCAAGATCTGAACATTCTAAAGTAAAACCGGAATAATGTCTCATGCACTTTAGATACATAGTCATTTAGTGGTCTTGGTCACCTAGGCGGGGCTGGGGAGCTAGAGAGTCCCAGGGACCCTCCTTTGATTGCCTCTCCAGTGCTGGGATTAGAAGTGGACACCGCCACACCTGGACTTTTATTTTTGTCTGGATTCTGGGATCGAACCTGAGTCTTCATGCTTCAAGTTAAGCATTTTACCAATGGAACTAGTCTCCCTTCCCAAGTTTTAGATCATCTAATAGGGAAATCATAGAATGCTACTGTGGGCCCTTAGAAGTGACAACGATTCAATTATAGTCATGTAGTGGACACATGGGGATTCTGAGAGCACCATGGTGGTGGGGGAGATAGGACTTAGGAACACAGCCTGCTCCATATCTGCAGGGAAAGTGCAGGCAACCTTCCTCTAACCATAATGCTGAGGCATATGGCCTAAAATTATGAGGGCACAGACTTGGAGGAAATGGGGTGCTGTGTCTCTGGAGAGAGTCAACTGACTTATTGTGGGAAGTGAGTTTGTGAAGGCTGGGTGCTGCTCGTGGGTGACCCTCAGAGCTGAGAGCTGCATTTCTGAGCACCTTCCCCAGGAATGCCTGGCCAAGAAATCAATGGAACGCATATGAAAACCCGGGGACCCCAGCAGTGGATCACATAGGGAGACCTGTTTGAGGTTGGAAAGATGCAAAGTTGGAGGAAGGGCTCCATCTTCCCTGCCCTTTGGCCAGATCTACTTTGAGGGAAGACTAGGAAAGAGTACCCTGGTGTGGCTACCCCACGAGTCAGAGTCCAGCAGAAAACGTCAAATAAACAATTGTACAGGAGACTGGCTCTCCTAACCACACAGCAAGACCCTCTGCAAACTGAATCTTCCTGGTCTCATTTGCCGACTTTTCCTGACACTTCCTTAGGGGTACTGGACTTCAGTTCTGATAAATTCGGAGAGCAGAAGTAAATTTGTGCAGCAAACCCAGACACAACAGCAACAGTACCCAGAATGGAGAGGTGTGGGCACTGCTAAGATAGCCGTGCTTTCAAACTTATAGCTCTTACCAAGATTAATCACACTTGGGGATGGAGAGGTGGTTCAGTGGTTAAGAGGTCTTGCTGCTCAGCCAGGCGGTGGTGGTGCACGCCTTTAATCCCAGCACTGGGGAGGCAGAGGCAGGCGGATCTTTGTGAGTTCGAGGCCAGCCTGGTCTACAGAGAGAGATCCAGGAAAGGCACAAAGCTACACAGAGAAACCCTGTCTCGAAAAACCAAAAAAGAGAGGTCTTGCTGCTCTTCCAGAGAACTGGAGTTCAGTTCCCAGCACCCACACAGGGCATCTTATAACTGTCTGAACTCTAGCTCCAGGGGATCCAGCACCCTCTTATGGCCTCTGCAAGTACCTGCACTCACATGCACATACCCACATACTGACACACACACACATAAATAAATTGAAAAAATAAATTAAAAACTGTTTCTAAAGAAGAGTAATGATCCTTAACATGTAATTCAAAGACCAAAATTATACATACTCTTTGAAATTTAATAAAGAATCAGGCTAGAGTACATTAATTAATTTGCCTTTGATCAGAGCTTTGTAAGTTTGGTTTAGACTAGGTAAGCTGTCTGACTTGCTGGGAGCCTCAGTACTAGATACTAGATAGAGATATTCTCTATACGTGAAGTGCGGCACCCCAGAGCTGCCAGATGGGGTCAGCTTCTGTAACACACACACACTCCCATGCCTGTGAGTCCCACACTAACACTTTAAGTCTCCTAAAATCTTTGTTTTAGTTTTCGGAAGTCTTTAACCTTAACCTAGCTACTCATACTAGTTCTGAATAGGCACTCTGTAACCTTGTTTAAACAATGGATATATTCAAAGGCTCTCGAGATGTACTTGGTGAATTAGAAAGGAAGCTGTGAGTTGACGCAGGTAAGCTCAGAAACTGAGGCTTCAGTTATAAGTGCCGTACGCCCAACTATTAGAACACTCTGCTAAGCCCCATGTTATCTCACAGCAGAAGAATGATGTTGTCAGGGGGTCCATTTCCCCCTTACATTTAAGAATCTACCCAAAGTTCTCAGTTTCCTAGAGGGGACTGACATTTGGGGATGGCGACCATTTCCTTATCCTTACCTGTATTTCCTTGAAAATGAAGATACCCCACAGTGCAGCGATAAGTCCAGGACCCTTAAATAAAAGAAGTTTAATTTTATTAGATATTTTTATATAACTGTACCCTAGAAAAATGTAGTAAGCTACAGGCAATGTAAAATATTTTCCGGGGAAAAGAACTATAATTCTAAACCTTAACTCCACACTGATCCAAAACTCATTAAACATCATTAAATAACATCATTAAATAAGACAGATTTATTTTTTTTGCTGTTTTTGTCTCCATGGTCATGATTGCTATTATTTTGATCATATTATAATATTTTATGGCACTAAATGCTTTTCTTTGATGTGATGTATTTATGACAAAACTATTCTATCCAGGCCTAGTGGTGTGAGTCTGTAGTCATGGATACTCAGGAAACTACGGCAGGAAGATTGAAAACTGAAGGCCTGCCAGGGCTAAAGACTGAGTTCAAAGTCAGCCTGGATAGCTTAGCAAAGCTGTCTTAAAAAATAGAGTAAAATTTGAAGGGGGATAGGGGCTATAACAGTGGTACAGTGCCTTCTTCATATGTGGGAAATTCTGGCTTTAAACCTAAATATAAACACACACACACACACACACACACACACACACACACACACACACACACACATCCCAAACAAAAAACCCCCAAACAAGAACAACAAAAAATCCCAAGCAAACAAGCAAACAAAGACAGAAAAGGAACAAATAACCTTCCTCTTTTTAAATAACCAAATAGCTTGTTTTTCTCCTGACTTACTTATTAGGCACACATAAAGGGATTGATAAACGAAAGCGAATGAATACACCTTAAGTTTTCTCAGCATTAGGTACACACTCTGATCTCCTAACTGAAGCAAGGGCATCTTTGCCTGGTAGACAATGGAAAGATGGCAGTACTCGGTCCCCATGCAAACCAACCAACTTTGTCTAACTCTAAACACAAACAAACACTGAAGGTAGCGATATAGAAAAATCAAACCATGTAAGCAAGCAACAGGAGTCACTGGAGGCAAGGACAAGAATGAAAAGATACAGAAAATAGGAAATGAGAAGCGACAAGAGAAAAGGCATCTTTCTATAATTTGAAATGTGAAGCTGTTGAGAGTTGGTGTTCATGTTTTTCACCAGCAAGGAAAACAGTAGAGTTGGCTTAGCTGTGATCTTGGTGAAAAAGATGTTACGAGACCAGAATTTTAATGACTCCTCTTCAAGCCCTGTGGGGACTCTGGAAGAGCTTCAGTAAACAGCTCCACAGTGTTCTCTCTCCCAGGACTACTCCCACTGTCCACAGGGCTGGCCCAACAAAGTTTGATTCCGCTGCTTCCAGCGTGTGTGGGGAAGCAGTAAAAATGCTTTGCTCTCCATTTGTCAGCCTCCGAGAAGTCAGCCTCAAAGGGGCCAGAGAAATAGGTCAAAGGAACTGCCTTACATCAGTGATGTGAAGTGCTGATCCTCAGAATCCAAATCAAATGGGGAGCATGTGCTTTGAAGCGGTGGGAGGAAACAGAAGAGGGATGACATACTAATGCCTACTACGTTAGTTACACTAGTTACTCAGGAATCTGTGTCCTCTTAATTTTGAAGACCCATTTCCCTCCAGAAAGGCGAAAACACAGGACCGCAGGTGCCACCCGCCTCTCTAGCTTCCCACCTGATGATTTTCTAATTATCCCTTCAGGCATGTTCCAGCAATGCTGTGAGGATGTTCGTGGTTTCAGGAGGTGATACTGTGCCAAAGTAATGTACACCCCAGGCAAAGGCGAGCTGAAGAGAAAGCGCATTTCACAGCAGGTGAAACTGCTTGGGACACTGGAGCTGTGGAACTGTGGGTTTTCCTTTTGGGAAATAAATCAGGTTACATTTAAGTCAGCTTTTGAAGGTGGGTTTGGTACAGTCTTAGAAGCCAAACCTAAAGTGCTTAGCATGATGCTTGGCACATAGGTACTCAATAAAATATAGATGATGATGATGATGATAATGATAAAGAAACCAAGCCTTCTAGATGAATTGGTTAGTTTTAGAATTGCCAGGGAAGAAGGGAAACAGAGAGTGAGTGGGTCCTGAGCAGGGAAATGGGGTCCTCCTTCTCCCTCGCCATTTTCCTTTTACAAGGACTTTGGATCTGATAAAAAAATTTATTGAGACTAGCACAGTTAGGCATTTCCTTTTTATGCCAACATACAGTTTCACTTTCAGTGAGAAAAATAGCTTAGATTTTTTGAATTTAGTTGTGTTAGAAAGTTATTTGGTGAATATAGAGCGGTCAAAAGCACACTGTGTGAGCCAGGCTTTGTGATTGCTAACATTTTGGAGGCTGCGGCAGGGGGATTTCATACTTGAGGCCAGCCTGGGTTACAAAGACACCATCTTAGAAACAAACAACAAAATTCAATTTCACACCCACAGCTCTTATCAAGCCTTTATGAAATCTCTTTTAGACTACTCAATTGTTAAGGTTTTTAGTTTTGCACATGTCTGAAAAAATGTGTGTGATGATTATTTAGGAATCAGGAGAACAACTGGTCAGAAGAGCATAAAAATAGGGTGGCTCAACTGTTAAGAGACCTATTGCTCTTGCAGAGGACCTGAGTTCTGTTCCCAACACCCATGTTGCATGACTTGCCAGCTGTCTGTAACTCCAACTCCAGGGAATCTGCACTCAGGTACACACACAGCACACATGGATACACACAATTAAAAATAATAACGATAAATGTTCAAGGAAAACGCCTGTGTTTATATACAACAGGCTGGAGACTGTTCAAGGTGATGATGAGCTGGCTGAATCGATTCAGTCAGCCTTCTTTCCTCATCCTCAAAATGTGGATGGTTGTAGCATCCCTTAGGCTACGTCAAAATAAGCATTGTGGTTTTGGCTGTTAGCTCTGTTTCACACAACTGAGCCCTAAAAACCCGCTGAAGCAGAGAGCAGTTCCCACGATTAGTGGCATCATCATTTCTGGAAACTTCCTTAACCTAGGGAAACTTCCTTAACACCTTCTCAAGGAGTCTGAAGTACTGTTAGCGCCACATCATATTTATATACCATTATACAAAGAAGACTGAAAGAGTCATGAGTAGAAAACCATAGTATGCCGGGCGGTGGTGGCACACGCTTTTAATCCCAGCACTCGAGAGGCAGAGCCAGGCGGATCTCTGTGAGTTGGAGGCCAGCCTGGACTACAGAGTGAGTTCCAGGAAAGGTGCAATGCTGTCTCGAAAAACCAAAAAAAAAAAAAAAAAAAAAAAAAAGAAAACCATAGTGTATCCCAGAAGACCAGAAGACAGTAGGTAAAAATGACCAAAGGAAAAATTGCAGGGACATACAAAGATGCGGCATTGGCAAACCTGCTAAAAAGAGGTTATAAACGTTCACTCCACCTCAATCAAGAGCATGGAGACCGGAGAGTGGGCGCTTGTCCAGTTTTACTGTAAAAACAACCCAGGAGGTCGGCCACTTACAGCAGTGATGACTGGGAAGCTGATCACGGCGCTCAGCGAGTGGTTGGCTATGAACCAGCAGCAGGTGGCGATGGCCCACAGCACCCCGGACAGGAAGCCTAGAACACAAGGGAGTGTACATGGGAGGGAGGGGTGTGGTCCTCTGCTGAGCACCATGCCTTCCACGCCACGGAAGGTGTAAGCGTACTGATAAAAGCATTCTTATTAACGATGTTGGCCCTTATGGGCGTTTGAGCTGTGCTTTGTGGTCACTTTGGAAACCCAAGGATTCCTCTGATCATGTGTCTGTGAGGATGAGGACTGGTCATTCCCTTTATTGAATGAAGGAGGAGCTTCATCCCATAGGGACAGGGTAGGGGAGAGGGGCCTAGCAAGTACTGGATCTGGCACATCTGCAAATTGAAGTTGAGAATGGTACTGGAAGTGGGGGAAGAGAGAATCCCGATCTTTAAGAAAAAAAAAAAAACCCAGCTACATAACTCACAACGCACCATTGTCTATCAATCCGACATTCAAAATAATCAAGTCATGCATGTTTTATTTTATGTAAAAATGTTTGCTTGTGGCTATATGTTCCAAATTGAATTATGCCGAACTCTTTAGTGAGAAACTATTATCTCAACAATGACTAAAGGGTGATGACCCCAAATACACTTTCTATAGCCCTCCAGGCACCTTCCCTGACCCTGCCCTGTAACTTTTGGATAAACTATTTTTTTCTAAGTGACTGCAGACTCTTATCTGTTGATATTTATTTATTTATTTATTTAAATAGGGGCAGGGGGTTCTGAGTTGTTATATAAATCTTGAAATGGTAGGAAAAAAATAGTGAAGACTGATGACCCTGACAGAAGAGTTTTTAACACAGGACATCTTCCCTTTTACAAAATTCATTGTTTGGCAGTGTTAGGTTCTGTATTGATGATCAACATTTTGGATACAGTTTCTTGGTGTTTTTTAATACTTCATATTTTATGGTGGACTGGACCAAAGCCCTTAAGAGAACACTCCTCTCTCTCTCTCTCTCCGTCCCTCCCTCCCTTTCCTTCCCTTCTCTCTCTCTCCCCTCCCTCCATCAGTCACCTTCCTTCCCCCCCCTCTATCTTTTTCTTTCCCCCTCTAATGATTATTCAAGTTCATGAGTGGAGGCTGGCACTTCCAAAGAGTAATAAGATTTTGTGTAGTTAATATTCTTTCTTACCTGGTAAGACTGCCTCTGGATATAGCCTTGGCTTATTTTTCATGGCTACACAATAGGCCACAAAGTAGATTGTACTTGTAAGAAAGATGCCACTGGAGTACGCAAACACGTAGTCTAAATCTGAAAACACAGATGAAGAAATGCAAACATCATTCCAGCCACCTCAATAGACCTTAATTTCTGTAACATAAAACATACTCACAGAAACTAACCTTGAGTGTACAGGACCATTAATTATATTTAATCATCCTCATTCTCCATATGCTGTTCATATAGAATTTTAATAAAGAGATTTAAAATCTAGAAATACTGAGTAAGTTAACTACAGTGAAATCTATCAGGCTAGTTTTCATAGTAGCCCTGGAAATCTCAGTAAGAAACGGTGACTATTGTCTGACTATGATGTGAAGTTGCCCTTTAAGAAGGAATACGCAGTCAGCCCTATCTCTACTATGGACTGTAGCAACTGTAGCAAATCTTGATGTATATTGGAGGGGAGAACGTGAATAAAAATGGGCACTTGCATGTGGCCAAACTACATGGTCTGTTGATCCACCCAGAGATCAGCAGTTCTGTTGCAGATGGCAGCTGTACGGGAGGTCATAAAGCTTTGGAAGTTATTCCAAAGGCAGCTTTGTCTAACCATTTACAACAAACCAGCTCCAAGGCGGAGATGGACAATGACACATAATGGTGGCCCGTCTTGGGAAACCCTAATATCACCGACAGCCTGAGCAGATGGCACTGAGCCACACAGATGGGGGCACTGTAGGAGCTTGGCTAGGAAGTCTACCTTGAAGTCAATGCTTCTGTCATCTACAGTTTTGACAAGGATGAGTGGTGTGTGTTTTTGGATGGAAACCTGAACTGCATGTCTGTCTCTTCTTCTAAACCTGAAATCATATTGTAGATCGTAGAAATGAAATCCATCCATCTATCCACAAAAAGAGATGAGGGCTATCCAATTACTATCTGCAAAAGTCTTTATAAAAGAGCACATGATACATACGTGTTGTTAAATAAAATACAGCAATGCCCGCTGAGGATTATTTTTTAACAAACTGGAATAAAGTACGCTCCTGTGAGACTGCATCTATACAGCCAGAGTTGTAAGAATACCTAAAAACTCATTGTCTATTTATAGAAAGAGACAGTTGAGGACATTGTTCATTATGTTCCAGGACCAGGAGGGGCTTTATTCCTGAACAGCCAATTGATTTTATCTGTGCTCACTGACTTCTGGGGCTGAACTGATTTCCCCTGTGGCTAAGAGAATTCCGAGAGCCAAATTCATGCTTATCATAAGCAAGTATACAAGTGTTCTACAATGATGTCAAACTCCCTCCGGCTCTGTTTATTTATTTCTTCTCCTTCCTGTGGTTAAGTTTTACTTCAGTTATTATCTTTTGAAAAGAAAAAAAAAAAGGAAATCTAAAACAAGAATTTATGTGAAACTTTGAAATAAAGGAGGTCAGTAGAGGGCACCACACATGGAGCTAAGTACAATGGGTTACGACAGCCCGGAGACTGTCAGTGAAGTTCAGCCCTCAGTAACAACCCAAGTTCTCCCTGTGGGGACTCAACGGGCCTTCAGCGCGTGACTTCCCTGACTCATCTGCTTCTTAAGAGTTTTGTGTTTCAAACTTCTCCCTTATCTGGCTAAAATTCCCATTGAGTTTCCACATCACGTAACCCGGAATTTTATTTTATTCATCTGGCTTCCTTATGTATGTTGTACTTCCAAGGAGTTCCAAGACCCCTACAGTAAGTAGATCCTTGTTTATCTCCCATTCAGCTTTCCCAGGGTCGTTGCATAGAATGTGGTTTCTGAGATGCTAGTTTTAGAACCGGAGGCATTATGTTGACTCTTTCAATGGACCACTTTGTGCTTGAAAAAGAATATCCTCTGACCAAATAGGCTTATGCTTTGACATTTGCTTGGTTTAAGAATGCTGTGTACTACACTTCAGCTTTTTTAAAGCATAGAGTACATATCTTCCCAGAGGTCATGATATTGGACATAAAGGACTCTTCACAGTCTCTGAATCTTAGTGGAAAGCTGGGAACCCCGTGCTGAGATCCAGGCAGTGGAAATGAACCCTGACTGCAGTTGATTTCATTTGTATGTTACGGAGCCCAGGAAAACATTGCGGTGTCCATTGCCACCTTGATTCCTGGTGCCTTCTAATTCACCACTTACAAATGAGAAGACAAACGCACCCAGCATGACTGACGTGATCGTAGCTCTTTTCCTATCTTCGCTTACCGTACTGACTGGCGCCCGCGTACTCGCTGTCGTTTCTTTTGCCGTGGTCCTTGATGTAGATGATTGGCACAAACGTAGATCCATAGAGTATTCCGGATATCACGGCAAGGCTGCAGCCCCTGACAAAACCAAAAGAAAGCACTGCGAATCTAGGCAAGAGGCAACGTTTTCAACACACTACTGGAACCGCAAGGACGGCTTTCTTCCATGTGAGGATTTTAAGCAGTTTTGCAGAGGCTGGCCCTCCGTCTGGAGCCCTGTGACCGGCAGAGTCGTGAAGACAGGAGCGGAGCCTCAGCCGTCTACAGGGTCTTGGTGGAAGAACATGACAGGCAGAGGGAGGAGGAACTATTACTACAAATGTCATCACACACGAGCTTCGAGTATTGCTGCTATTGGGTCGTATGTCATTCAAACAAAACTAATGTAGGAGGTGTTTGTGGACAGACACTAGGGTTCTCAAGTTTCTCTCAAAGACATGCTCCAGGATCCATCATGGAGCCAGGACAGACTAAGAACAAATGCCTTTTTGTTTAGAATGATTACAGAGAGAGACTTGATTATGGCTTTGTCAAGAAGTGTTAATGGAGCCTAAGAATCTGAATATTTTTGGTAAAAAAATTGTTAGAAGAAGAAAAAATGTTTCATTTCTAACAATGCCAACTCCTTGGCCTTGAATACTGCATGCATGGAATGGGAATGGACATTTCCAGGGATCTGGACGTAAGGGAGAAGATGGATATTGTAGGACAGTCTATCTTCACACAGGGAGGCAGTTTTAGGCAAGACCCCTGCCTTCAAGGCATGATGGCATGACCCTGTAATCTCAGAGAGAGAAAAAAAATTGGAGCAAGTACGGAATACATAGCAAGATGCTGTTTTAAAAACAAACAAGCAAAACCCAAAATAATTAAATAAATAAAAACTCCCCTAAGCCTAAACACAAATTCTTTGTCAATTTTTAGTAAGGACATGAGAGTCCAGAGCTCTCTGTACACGTTGACAATACATTCCACATACATTGACGACCCCTGACTTGAAATGAGGACAAGAATCCGTGGCTCCAGAGTGGCCCAAACACATAAGTGTAGCTAGAGTTTTCCTGGTCCTGCCTGGCCCATGGTCAGGACAAATCTCTCTCACCCTCCAGTCCTGCAGCTGCTCAGACCCAACCAAGTAAACACACAGAGACTTATATTACTTATAAACTGTATGGCCATGGCAGGCTTCTTGCTAACTGTTCTTATATCTTAAATTAACCCGTTTCTATTCATCTATAAGTTGCTCATGGCTTACTGGTATCTTAACATCATCTCAGGGTGGCGGCTGGCAGCATCTCTCTGCCTCAGCCTTCCATTTCCCTGAATTCTCCTCTCTCCTTGTCCCGCCTATACTTCCTGCCTGGCTACTGGCCAATCAGCACTTTATCAATCAATCATCCATAGCACATAACTAGGTAAAAGACAGTTAGAATTTCTTTTTAGGTGGTGCTTGGGATGGATCCCTGGGCCTCTTACATACTAGCCGAGTGCTTTATGCTGTATCCTTTGAGCTACAACCCCAGCCCTAAACATCTTCCCTTTTACAAATATTCCCCTAATGGAAGACATGCTTTGTGGAGAAAATCCATGAAAATATTAAAAAAATATATATTTATGAAACAATTTCCTTTAAAAAAAAAAAGGGGGCCAGGCAGTGGTGTCACACGCCTTTAATACCAGCACTCGGAAGGCAGAGGCAGGCAGATCTCTGTGAGTTCGAGGCCAGCCTGGTCTCCAAAGCGAGTTCCAGGAAAGGCTCAAAGCTACACAGAGAAACCCTGTTTCGAAAAACAAAAACAAAACAAAACAAAACCAAAAAAGGGAAACTTTCCTTATGAATGTAAAAATGGCAATATATTTTTCTTGCACAGCTTAATTAATTTTTATTTTTTCATTCATTTAATTTAGTCCAACATTACTCCATGGCTCTTTTGCACTGTGAAGACAGCATATCTGCTGCCTTTAGGTTGGGACTGTACAGCTCAGTGATAGAATGTTTGGCTAGCATGAACAAAACAAAGCAAGTAACCCCTTCATGGTCCCAGGTCCACAAAGTTCACACAGCCATGATCTGTAAAAGGAAAACTGCATACTGCAACATGTTTTCAATAATTCAGCCCTCCCAGAAAAAAACAAATGAAAAAACCAAACCACTATAACCCCATACCCTAAAAGTGAGACAGGCTGCTGTTAAGGCATCCCTGGAAGTGCTTGTGAGGGAGACACGGGGGTAGGACTTACATGGGCACAGAATATGCTATTATATTTGATAATGGACACCTGGGATCATCAAACTGTCACACATGAAAGGAGGGTGGTAGTCCTGGGCTGATCTCAGGAAACGGAGAGCACTGCTTGATTAGCTTGTGATACAACGTGGTTATTATGCAACCTCTTCACTTTCAGTGCTGAAGTCCTACAGAATAAGGTTGTTGCTGTCCCTGGCTAACTGGTCAGATACACTACAGTGATTTGGGATTTCTCAAGGCATCTGAGCTCAATGACCAACTTCTACACCTAAGACTCAGTGCAAAGAGCAACCCCTGCCCCCAGGAGGTAGACCTGAGTTTTTGTCATTTTCTTCCTGGGATCAGACGACCTTCACCACATCTCGCGAGACCCTCTGTTTTAGTCAAATGTGAAACGCAACACTAGAGAGAGAAGCTGCCTCGCCTTACACAATGCGGTGGGACGTGGTGGAAAGTCTGTCGACCCAGGGGGAACCGGCACAGGGGTCTTCGGCTGTGTTGATCACCTGTGGAAGTCATAAGAAAGATCTGTATACAAGGACCTTCAGCAGACAATTGCAATGCCACACAAGGATGTCCAGGCTTTTCCTCCCCTCTCAAACACACCTTAACACGTGCACAAGTCACCCATGATCTCTGGGAGTTCAAAGCTGCTCTTCTGACTCCACCCCTCCAGTTTTCCACTTAAATTTTTTTTTACAGATTAATGTGTTGCTATTTGATAAACTTAGCTCTCATGGTTCATTAGTGTATTTTAATAAACTGTAAAGAAATCAGAACCAAGAAAAACTCAGACTTTCCACAGTAGAATGCATACAATCAATAAGCATTTTATGTCTCTTTTCCACTCAATAACACTATTTTAATTTTGTGTTTTACTGAATTAAAATACTTCCAGGCATGTTTCAAATTTAGGCTAATACTTAAGTTGAGGAAAACCTGTGAGCAGATTTGAAGAAAATTTGTCAGTTTGAATTCACTGTCCTGGCTGAGTCAGGTTTTCCTCAGTTGGTGCTGTGGAGCTCAGGCTTGCCCCTGCATCATCATTCATCCTGATGCTCGCATATCTTTAATCTCAGCTGTTTGTTCCCCTTGACCTAACCTAGAAGATCTAGTAGGTCTACCCTGTGTCTCTTCTCAAGTTGTGTTTGTTTCTTTTCTCTTTCTTCTTTTTCTTTCTTTCTTTTTCTTTCTTTCTTTCTTTCTTTCTTTCTTTCTTTCTTTCTTTCTTTCTTTCTTTCTTTCTTTCTTTCTTTCTTTCTTTCTTTCTCTCTCTCTCTCTCTCTCTCTCTCTTTTCTCTCTTTCTTTCTTCCTTCCTTTCTTTTCTTCTTTCTTTCTTTCTTTCTTTCTTTCTTTCTTTCTTTCTTTCTTTCTTTCTTTCTTTTACTTTGTTCCATCGTTCAAAGTATGGTTAGCTGGGAGGCATCTAGATCCCTGGATCAGGTGAGGAACACAAGAGCATCCTCTCGGGGCCAACTCATCTTTTCTTGAAGCACACAGTGCTTAAAGATGTCCGGGAACTAACATCCTTGTCTCTGTTTTTAGGTCAATGTAATGAAGGCATCAGCCATCTTGGTTGATAGAGGTTTGGGTAGGGGAAGAAGGCAAGGGGAGGGGAGAAGTACCAGCACAGAGGTGAAGCTGCCAGGGAGGCAAAGCCTGTAGGCTGAGGGTGTGGGCTCAGAGGGTGACAAGCAGCCAGGCTCCAGAGCAGATGGAGAGGATGGCTTAAACTGAAGGGCTGGCGCTGGCTTCCTGGCAACATGGACAATACCTCATGCAAACTTCAGAGTGGGACCCTGGACATCTGGGCCATGTCACGTCTCCTTAAGGTTGGCCCTGTTTAACACTGACTGGCTATTCCAGACCAGCTTGTATTCTTCATGGTCAAAACAGTGCCTCCTTGTGTATTTTCTGTCATTGTGGTTAAGCAAAACATGATAAAGATAAAACCAGAAATGGAAAGAAAATCAAGTCCATTTCCTACCAGCACATGATCTCATTGACCATCATTAGCTCCCTCTGCCCATTCCTTCCTTCTGTCTACTCCTCAGCCTCCTGCTTCCTTTTTCCAAGTTACTCTCTCATCTCTCCACAGGGCTGTACAAACCCCGAATGTATCATCAACGAAAAGTTGCATTCGTACACCTTGTAGGGATCTGTTGTCAAAAAAGTCAGCCTCATGCTTAGGAAGAAGTGTCACCATGGAAACCTGACCCATTTCTGATAAATATGCTGAACTATTTTTATAGCCATGAGGGATGGAAAATATCACCTTCTCACATGTATGTCAGAGTTATGTTTTTTTCCCTTACATCCTGTGGTGGTTTGAATGAAAATGGCCCCCATAGGCTCATAGGGAGTGGCACTATTAAGAGGTGTGGCCTTGTAGGGGAAAGTGTGTCACTGGGGGTTGGGCTTTGAGGTTTCAGAAGCTCAGGCCAGGCCCAGTGTCTCTCTCTCTCTTTCTGCTGCCTGCTGATCTGGATGTAGAGCTCCTAGCTACCTTTCTGGTACCATGTCTGCCTGTGTGCTGCCAAGCTTCTCACCACGATAACAGACTAAGCCTCTGAACTGTAAGTCAGCCCCAGTTAAATGTTTTCCTTATGAGAGTTGCTGTGGTCATGGAGTCACTTCATAGCAATCGAGACCCTAGCTAAGACACATCTAAATCTTAGGTTTCAAATCGAATTGTCCCACACAATACTCACAGGTTCTATTATCAGTGGCGTGTTGTCCACGTTGCATGGATTATTCGGAAGCTCACTTTTGATGAACAAAAATGTGAGAGCACTGAAGGAAAATACATTCCAGTGAGATTTACCAGGACACACACACACACACACACCACACACACACACACACACACACACACACACACACCACCTGCATCAAGCTGACTGGTTTTTAAGAGAAAACAAAACTTCAATTGAGTCCTGATAATAGAATTACTTCTGCACACACCATGTAGAGGGTCTTGCTGTCTCTTCAGAGCCCCATTTTCTTTGGTGTCCTTTACTTAGCAGGGTAGAGAACAAACACATGAGATTTTCCCTAAATTGGATCTTTGTCCTGATTTCCCTGTTTTAGTCAATGGTCTCATCTTTTTTAATGATTCCAGCTTAACTTTGATATCACACTATGTGAAACTAAAAGTGAACACGACCCTGATATATTCATCATCTATTATAATGATACACTCCAAAAAAAATGGAACAATATCCTTAGTTGGACAACTGTAAGGGATGGCCACTTCTATATGACAGTGACATTTTGACGAAGTACACTCTTTCTGGAGTATCATCTAAACCATAAGTACTTTACTTTTCCTTACCAGTACTGACCCCAGCTCCCCAAAATAGGATCAACAACACTCAGGTGATGCCACGCGGAAAGCTGAATGGTGGAACTATGTAGCCACAGTAAGAATGGTCTCAAAGTTCTGATATGGAAAGAACCCCAGGACGTAGTTTTAAGAGATAAAAACATGTATGCCTACGTCTGGTAACATTTTCCCACTCTTACAGCACTGTCTACCCATGACCAGCGTCTCTATAGCAAATGCCTCACTTACTTTTGGTTGAACTATGCAAATGCATTAAGATATTAAGAAAATGGACAACTTTGAAATACTTTGGATATTCATTTAAAAATATTTTTTAATGCATTTTCATGTTCAAAAGTTAAAATAGGAAGCTCTCAGAGTGTATTTTAGGTCTGAACAGGGTATCTGGGTTCAGAACAGTGAGCAATGTATGCTGATTTAGTCATCAAAATGTGTGTGTGTGTGTGTGTGTGTGTGTGTGTGTGTGTGTGTATCTCCTAATTACAACCTGCATGGTCTGTATAATGTTCTTTGTATGTACATTTTCAGGGATGACCATTTGGTATTGAATAACCAACTGGTGTGTTCTTCCCTGGGGAACTGTCTGACTGAAGCTATTATCTTCCCTCCCTGATGTTTCACATGTTGGCTCTTCCTTTTAAAATGTTTCTAGCTGCACACACAACTCATACTCTCCTCTTTTTGGCCAGATGAAAGAAGAGCTGGAGGTAAACAGCTCCCAGGCTGGTCCTCACTGGATCACCCACTAGATTTCACAGTCCCAAGACTCAGCGCTGCATGGGCCAGACCATGTACCTCATTCCAGACAATTTGTTTTTCTAGAGACTTCAACAGAAGATTGGAATCACCTGCTGTGTTATCTTAAGAGTTCTTAAAATATGGCCGGGCGGTGGTGGCACACGCCTTTAATCCCAGCACTCAGGAGGCAGAGCCAGGCGGATCTCTGTGAGTTCGAGGCCAGCCTGGACTACCAAGTGAGTTCCAGGAAAGGCGCAAAGCTACACAGAGAAACCCTGTCTCGAAAAACCAAAAAAAAAAAAAAAAAAAAAAAAATGTGACAGTGTAAGAATGACTGTATCGAACCTAATTACATGCATATGCATAAATAAGTTAAATGTATATGCGAGTGTCTGCTTTTAATCTGTAAGGCTAATATTAGATGTTGCAATTACATTTTCTTCTAGAAATGAAAATCCTCAACTCTTGTGTAAACTCGTATATTTTTCTAGTAACGCAAAATGTTGGATACTAGAAAGCTACAGGCGTGTTTTTTTCCCTTAAAAAGAATAACGCTGCAACCAGTGACTTAACCTCCATGAGACCTGGCTTTTCACCTGTGAACAGGTATTCTGTACTGTACCATAAGCACTACAGGCGAAGGAAAGGATGAAGCATCGGGAAACTTGGAATGAGACTGTTACAATTCCATAGCAACACATGTGTGGTGAAGAACTCGGGGCTGGAAAACACACTCAGGACTCTTCTGGCAGTCAGGCCTGGTGCTGCATGCCTGTGATCCTCGAACTTGGGAGACCAACAGAAGAGGACCACAAATTCCAGGTCAGCCTGCACTCTTGAGTTCTAGGGCAACATGAGCTACATAGCAAGACCTTGTCTCAAAAACAAAATGATAGGAAGAATGGATTTTATGAGATTAAATACAGCACACATTGTGTATTGTAAAGGTGGAAATTAAAAGTGGCTACAGTTTTTAGTTAGAATCCCTGCCTTCAATGTGTCATCTCACACAGATGGAACAGGAGGTACCTGTGGCGTTTTTTGTAGGGCTGTCCAGCCTGGTCCATAGTTAGACAAGAGGACTGCAGCCCTATGAAAGGCAAAGCTGGAAACAAAGGCCTGGACTTCCCAACAATGCAGAATAGTGAATGAGGTGGGGATGGGGGGAGGTGGGTGGGAGACAAACGCTCCAGAGAGAGAAAGTGAAAGGAGTCAGAAGGGGCAGATTCTTGGATAATCCACGACACATCATTTTATTTTTCTAATAGAAAAGGAAATCTGTCAGGAAGCTGAGGAGAGAGGATAGCAAGTTCAAAGCCATCCTGGACTACCTGGTGAGGCCTTACACAGGCAAGCAAGCAAGAAGCAAGAAGCAAGCAAACAAGCAGCAAGCAAGCAGCAAACAAGCAAGCAAGAAGCAAGCAAGTCCTCTGCTGTTTAAAAGCCCTAGAGTGGTCTCAGTTGTATAAGCAAACTAACTGGTATATGTTATACAGAGAAAATGTGAAACTAGCCATCATCTCACCCATCCTTTAAAGACTGGACTGTACAGAAGACCAAAATGATCATTTAAAGTATAGAAAACACAGCAGCATTTGGGCTGGAGAGATGATTCAGTGGGTAAAAGTGTGTGCTGTGCAAGAAAGAGTGCCTGAGTTTGAGTCCTCAGACCTTACATGGAAGCAAACACATGCAAGGAGATAGTATGTATTCCTAGTGTTCCCACAGAAAGATGGAAGACTGGGACAGGAAAGTGCCTGGCATGCTGCAGGCCAGTTAGCCTGGTGTATGCAGCAGCCCTGAGGCCTCTCTCAAAAAAAAAAAAAAAAGATGGAAGTCTGAAGGGGTTAAAGGCTCCCACTTTCACAACTGAATTTAGGCTCCAATTTTCTGAGAAGGGTATTGGACAAACAGCTGTCTTTTCCAACAAGGCCCTTACGTTCAGGGTCCAGGGAGGGAATAAACACAGAGGGTCTAAGTCAGCCTCACAGTATCTCAAGGACAAACCCAGCAGACCCTTCTGAGTAACGTCCAAGCTTGTGCAGATGTGTCCAAAAATGATTAGACATATACTAATTAGACTTATACTAACCAATTAGATAACTGACCCTGAAACTCTCCTTAGCTGTACATAAAAAGATCTTGTGTGTCCCTCTAGAGGTCGTCACTATTTTGTACAGGTGAATGACCCCACATGCATGTGGTATAATAAATGCTCTTTGTTCCTACATACTATTTGAGTCTGGGGTCTTCCTTTAGCATTTCCTCGGACCCTACAAGCCAAGGACCAGTATCTGAGGTTGTCCTCTGACCTCCATCCATGTGCCATGACACCTGTGCACCCAAATTCATACATGAATATGTGTGTGGGCACACACACACAGGGACCCCCCCCCCACACACACACAGACCTCCCCCCGCACACATACTGGCAGCACACAGATACACACAGGCACATATATCCACACAGAGAGACACACATGCATACATACACACACACACACAGAAAACAAAGCCACATCTGTAATCAATAGAACCATATTTCATTTTTTCACACTACCAGGAGCTCTAAATTCATTCATCAATGCCCTTCAAAATGAACCAATTAAAGCTATTCAGTTAAACTAATTAAATAAAATATTCCTGCAGTTCCACCCAGGAGAGCAATACAGATGGGGCCTGACTGCCTCGTAGGAAGAGATCCCTGCATTCCCTGGCTGCGGATCCAGTTCTTAACAGAGCTGCAAAATTCCTTCAGTGCACCACCTAATTTAACATTGATTGAGCCACCAACAAATGTCCCAAGGGGCAACTATGTGTGAATGTAATAGTACAGGCATTTGGGTCCTAAGTGTCCCCTAAAGGCTGTGCTAAAGGTTTTTGGTGACTGATCTACTTGCTATGGGGAAGCAATCAGCCTTTAAGAGGCGGGGCTTAGTTAGAAGTTGGGTGGTTAGAGGCATGACTTTAATGGGGCTTGTTGGGGCTCTCTGTCTTTCTCTTCTGTTTCCTTTGGTAGATGGCTTTGCTCCTCCACATTCTTTGATCACCCTGTACAGCTTCCGCAGAGCCCCCAAACCATAGGGCTGATTTATCATAATCTTTCCATGTGGAGCCAAAACCATGTGTCTAGATATACAAAGCTTTTCAAACATTTATTTTTCAAATTATCTTCAAGATTGCCACTGGCATTACCCCCTCTTTCCAGATAAAGAAACCAAGGACTTGGAGAAAAGATCTGTCCAAGGTCATATGGATAGAAATGGCAGCATGTGAGGAACTGATTTGTAATTTTAGGGAAAATTTTGTTTTTCTAAAGAAGAAATTTGGAGTGTGCTTAATGTACTGGATAGACCAACCTTAAATCATTACCATTAAGTTAAAACTAGACTTGCTAAATTAGAATTTTACAATGTGCAGAAATTATCTTAGAACTACTGTAAGCTAGAATTCCATGTGAACCGTATAAGACCCATAAAACTGCCTCTAGCCAAATGTGTCAAGAATTTACAGTTTTAGAATAAGCTTTGCTATTCACCCCCAATTGCCTAGGGACTACCCTCTAAGGCAACATTTCAATGACAAAGAGATTGTTCCGGAATGTGGCTGGGGAAAAACACCATTACTGGAGGAAGGGAAATATACTGTTCTTTCCCTGAAGACTAAAAAAGTACTAAAATCTTTGTAGGCGATGCTATTTGTTATGTGCAGCACTGACAGTGGATATAAATGGAATCCAGAGAGAATAGGTGACTGAATTTAAGGTGACCTAATTCTTGCTTGAGTTTTATTGGCGACACGCCACTGTGTAGAGATTCAAAGTCATTTTCATCCCCATTGATATAGTGCATACAAGTAGAGGGACAGACATGGATACCTAGGTATTCAAAAGAGAATGTGAGAGGTGAGAAATTGGTGACTGGGTTAAAAAGAATGAATGGGAGAACAGGGCAATGGAAGCTGGAGTTAGTGCTGGGCAAAGCTCTCATTACCTGTAGTCAGCCATGACATGCTAAACTCAAGGCATCCACATTCCTACATTGTAACTTGTGCACTGCCCTCCACAGCATGACGCTGTCTCCTGGTCTGAGGCCAGAGGCATGCATTAGCACCCCTGTGCCAAATTAGCCATCCTAAAGAAGGACCCAGCACTTAGCCCTTTGCAGTCCCCTGGGTCAAATCCACTGTAGTGATTTGCAGTCCTGGATTCAGTTAACCTGGACCCGAAACACAAGAGTGGTGAAGCAACCTAGCAGATCCGATATGCCGAAGAGGACCCATTAAGTGTCGCCTTCCAGTGAAAAGGCTGACGTTCTCAGCTTTAAAAGGAAAAAATAACCACACTGAAGGTTCTGAGATCTATAATAACAAAGCTAACCCATAAAGCTGTAAGGAAAAGATATTTCTGCTACCTTTTCTGTCATGCTGAAACTATAGAAGTACAGCCTTAGTGCTTAGTTAAAAAGGAAAAAGCGTGAAGTCATAAAGTTTGATACTCGCTGTGTTTCAGGCATGCTCTGAGGATAGAGCATCCCCCCTTGGATGAGGAATACTGTACTAAATAGACTCAGCGACCATTCCAGGGGCATAGAGGGAACCAGCAGAGCATTGACTTGGATAGTATGCTTTTGTAAGCAAAATAATTTAATACATTCTGGTTCGCCTTCATGAGCAATGTACTGTGATTCTCCATCTAGCACAGATATTGGAGGTGAACTTCAGAGCAGTTAGGTGATGTTTCCCAGTTTCTTGGAGCTTTGGAGAATTAAAACTGGAGTCCCTAACCCCCTCGTTTGTTATTTCTTGTTCTGGAAATAAGCCCTGTTGTTGAAAATCAGGAACCTTACACAAATTTTATGAAATGTAGGTTTAAAAAATGCAAGGACATCAAAAGCTTTAGGAAGCAGGGCTGGAGAGGTGGTTCAGTGGTTAAGAGCACTGGCTGCTCTTCCAGAGGACCTGGGTTTGACTCCCAGCATCTACATGTCAGCTCACAATCATCTGTGACTGTAGTTTCAGGAAATCTGACACTTTTTTTTTTTCTGATTTACTCAGGCACCAGGCACACACATGATGCACATACATGAAGGTAGAACATTGATACACATAAATAAAATAAATATATAACAAGTCTTTAGAAAGCACTCTGCCCAAAAGAACTAGTGCCTAATAATGGCTGCAGACCTTACTACTGACAGCCCAGCTCCAAAGTAATTCAGCATGGGGTGTGGCACTTCTTCTGCATCCATTCCAAACCAGCCAAACCTGGAAATTCAGAAGAAAATCAAATCAGATACTGATAAAATGTTTTAGAGTAATGCTTAAGAGAATAGACTAGGGGCTGGACTCTTGAGTTGAAATCTTGGCTCTTTCATGCACTGTCTAGCTTTGGATAAGTTACTTTCTGACACTGTGCCTCCAATTTCCATATTAAAGTGGAAAAAATAGTGGCTGAGGCATGGTGGTACATTCCTGTAACCCCCAGAGGTAAGACAATAGCTCAAGGCCAGCCTGGGCTACAGCACTCAGGAGGCAGAAACAGATTTCTGAGTTTTGAGCCAGTCTGGTCTACACACTGATTTCCAAACAAGCCAGGGCTACATAGTGAGAAAACTATGTGAAAAAACAAAACAACAAAAACCAAGCAAATCAAAACCAAACCAAACCAAAAAACTACCACGGGAAAGTGTGTGTGATTGCATGTATGTGTGTGAATGCGTATGTGTATGTGCCTGTACACATACATGTATCTTAATGCTGGGAGTCAAACCCAAGGCCCTGCACATGCTAGACAGTGCTCTAACTCTAAGCTACATCTCAAGCCCTTCTATAATATTTGAAGTATTGAAAATGACTTCTTGGCGAAAAATTCCTGTTCTTTGACATCAACTTACATTCTTTTCATCATGGTTTGACTTTGTCACAATCATTATCATTCATCGTGAACAGCCATCCAGGGGTAAGAGAGTGAGGCAACCAGAAAAAACATTGTATTAAAACAAACAAAACTCCAGGGTGGGGGGAGCAAAAGAAGGATGCATATACTGTAAGTTAGTGGATTGATTTGCCTTGCTGTTTTGGGGTAGTTACAATGTTTTTGAGTATAGGAGGGGCCTTAAAGTGAGGCAAGAATAATGTTCTCTGTTCTCATGTCCCCTCATGTGAGAAGCACATGTGATACTAACCATGAGCATCACACACTGTTCACGCAACGTCCATGATGGTATCGTGTTCCCACCCAGGCCACTGTGTGAAGCGGGAGAGCCTCTGCAAATGTAGCTAGTACCACTGGGACACACAAGGTCCAACTTTGTCATTTTAGTTAGCTTAAGTTTCCACACAAAGGCCGCCTGAGGCTTGTGACAAACCCTTTGGATAGCTAGGGTCGAAAAAGTTCTTCTTGTAGAGCCAGAGTGTTTTAGGTGTGGCTGTCTCCCTTCTCCCCCGCCCCTGTACTGCAAAAGCAGTCACAGACAATAATACCTAAATGATTGGATATGGCTACATCTCAATACATCTCTACAAAAGGCTGGGGAGATGGAGCCATAGGTTGTTGCTCTATTCTGAGGAAGAACATCTACTTTTGAATTGGTCCCTGGCTAGAACACGACCTTCAGCATCTCAGCCTCTTTGGGTGTCAGCTCTCTTACTGTGCTTACCTCATACAACTGTAAAAGTCAGGTGAGAATGATACACCTTATCATGTCTGTCAAACCACCCTGCAGCAGAAAGGGAAAGCAGACATCAGCTGACTTCCTCTCTCCCTGCTTGTGTCCCAGATACAGCTCCTTACTTTTTGTTTCGATTTCCTTTTCTGTGTCTTCATCAACTATCTAGGTCACTTACAAAGAGCTTCAACATCACAGTTAGACATGGCTATGTGTACCAGCCATAATCTGAGACGAAGAATCAAGTTGTTTCTCTTGGTATGGCTAAACCCCAGTTTAGACTGAATGCAGGGCGCAGGAATCTTAGCTGAGATCATTTGAATTGTGTTACCTTGAGCTTGCCCAGCCAGTTAAGGTATTAAATGATCCCCAGATGAGGATTCCAAGACCTAAACCGATGGTTTTGATAATTGGGACAACAGCAATGTTCCCTGTAGATACAATACATAGGGAAAAAAATGGGTTAGTTCTAGTACAACAGATACATTTCTAAGTTAAATTAGTGGTTTTTTTTTTTTTGTTTTTTTTTTTTGTTTTTTTGTTTCCTAACTTCAACTTCTGCCCCAACTTAACTTCAGGATGTGGTCTGCACTCACTGGCTGTTTTTCCAGAGTCTCACCACCATTACCTTAGGCTCTTGAGGGTCACTCAGGGCCAATCCATTATAGTGTTGAATGTTGACATTAGCGTGGTTGTTACAGAGACAAGTTCTTGCCGTGTTGAAGAGGCTAGCTCCCACTCATGGCTCATGAGATCCCACCCTCCCCGGTAGCTGGGACTGTGGCTGCTCCACCATACCCAGCTCATTGCCGCTCTTTATAAAAGAGACTGCTTTCTCAGCATCCTGACTCCATCCTGCAGTTTCCTCTTGAAGGTTTCTTCTTTAGATTTGTGAGTCCCCTTTGTGTCCTGCTTTCAGCTGTTGATCAGGGACCCGTGCGCTCTGTGATGCAGCTGTAGTCTAGTGCAACTTGAGTTTTAGAGTTGTTCTATGAACTGCTGAAGCAATTCTGCACGTAGATGTCCTCCACGGTGGGAGTGTTAGAGGCTTTCGAGTCATATGGTACCCTGCTCCACTTATTTTCCCTTTTGGAAAGTTCTCCTGGTCTCAAGGTGTTGCTGTCTCCTCTTTAACCACTTGCAATGAAGCCCTTATATCTCCCTCTTCTCTCTCCTCTGTGCCCCAGAGCAGCTGGTTGTTATAATCTGTAATGTGGTGATGTTTCTCAGGTTTGGTTGCCTACTTCTCCACGTTGACCATAGTGGAAGCTGCTTGAGGGACAAATGTTCTGGTATCTATAATGATCTGCACAATGGACCTGGTGTGGTAGCCCACGCCTTTAATCCCAGGACCTCTGTGAGTTAGAGGCCAGTCTGATCTACATAGATAGCTCCAGGTCAGCCAAGGCCACATAATGATAGCCCATCTCACAAATATAAATGCATACATTTTTAAAAATTATTTAACTGAAATAAAATTTCAAAAATTAAAAAAAAATGCTCACATTAGCAGTGCACATATTAAAATTGGAGTGATACACATAAGATTATCATGGACCCTGCACAAGAAGGACATACAAATTCAAGAAGCATTTCATATTTTACACCAGCCTTGACCAAAAAAAAAAAATCTGCAGGTTGACAAAAAAGAGATGTGTCTCATCTGCAATTCTACTGGGAACAGAGGCAGGAGGACTCAGAGTTCTAGGCCAGCCTGGGTTGCATATAGTGCAACTCTGCCTCCAAAAGCCTAGAGGAAATGAGTGAACGCTGTTCATTCTCCCAATTTCACACAGTAAAAAATCACAGAGGCACATACATGTGAGGTATGGTAATGTAAATTCTAGTGGAAATGTGAAATTATACTTACTTTGATTTCAGCTTAATAAATCTTATTAAAATCTCATGGGGGTGGCACTATTAGAAGTTGTGGCTTTGTTGGAGTGGGTATGGCCTTGTTGGAGGAAGTGTGTCACTGTGGGGGTGGGCTTTGAGGTTTCCTGTGTTCAGGCTACCTCCCAATGTCTCAGTCAACTTCCTGTTGCCTGCAAGATGTAGGACTCTCAGCTATTCCTCCAGTCTGCCTGCATGCCTCTATGCTCCCCACCATGATGATAATGGACTGAACTTCTGAAACTGTAAGCGAGCCACCATAATTAAATGCTGTGGGATGGTCTGTATGTCAAATGTGTTACTGATTAGTCAATAAATAAAACACTGATTGGCCATTGGCTAGGCAGGAAGTGTAGGCGGGACAAGGAGGAGAATAAAGCTGGGAAGTGGAAGGCTGAGTCAGAGAGACACTGCCAGCCGCCACGATGAGAAACAGCATGTGAAGATGCCGGTAAGCCACGAGCCATGTGGCAAGGTATAAATTAATGGAAATGGATTAATTTAAGCTGTAAGAACAGTTAGCAAGAAGCCTGCCATGGCCATACAGTTTGTAACCAATATAAGTCTCTGTGTTTACTTTGTTGGGTCTGAGTGGCTGTGGGACTGGCAGGTGAGAGATATTTGTTCTGACTGTGGGCCAGGCAGGAAAACTCTAGCTACAATTAAAGGTTTTTTTCTTTTTTTTTTAAATTAGAGTTGCCATGGTCATGGTGTCCCTTCACAGTAATAAAAACCCCAAGACAGTCCTTCAAAGACTCAAATGGGTAACAAGTAGGATTTTAACATTTTCAATTTTATTTGCTTCTAACAAATTTATCTCTTAAAGATTTTTAGTAATTTTCTTTGTTAAAATACAAAAAGATGAACTTTCCAGAGGGAGTTCATATAGAAAAGAGAACTGTTTCTGATTGGTTAACTGGAAATATAAATTCTACTATAGACTTTAAGGAATTGATAAAGCACAAGGACATTTTTTATTGTCTGTTTTTTCTGTTAAATGTTACTCAAAATGATTACATGCCTCTCTACTTGACAGCTTTTAAGGATAAGGTTTAAAAATGGTGTTAACAAAGAATTACTTTTTATTACAACATTTTCTGATAAACATGCCTTAGAAAGGTCAAATGCATAAGATGGCATCTGAGTTATACTTTAAAAGGATCAAATAACTTTACTATAATAGTTTTCTAGCAGGAACTTATGCTGTGGGATAATGGTTTTGTACACTGGTTTAATAAAACACTCATTGGCCAGTAGCCAGGCAGTAAGTATAGGCAGGATAAGCAGATAAGGAGAATTCTGGGAGGAGGAAGCCTGAGTCAGGACACCAGCCTGCTGTCCAGCGAGCAGCATGTAATGGCACACAGGTAAAGCCACGGAACACGTGGCAACATATAGATTAACAGAAATGGGCTGAGTTTAAATGTAAGAGCTAGACAGTAGTGAGCCTGAGCTAGTGGCTGAGCAGTTTTAATTAATATAAGCCTCTGTGTGTTTACTTGGGACTGGCAGGTGAGAGAGATTTGTCCTGACTGCGGGCCAGGCAGGACACAAGAGAACTCTGACTACAAACTTACAACATTTAAAGGGGAAAAAAAAATCAGGAAATTTCCAGGAATATCTGAAAGGGAAACAGTACACAGCCCATGTTATCTGCATTTAATGACTGAGTCACTGTGCCTTTTCTCCTGGTTGTGAGTATGACCACTGTATTAGATGAATACACACATTACCTGTTGCCCAAATGAAGCCACCGAGCATCGCAAAAGGCCAGAATTTAGGGCAGCGTAGTATCAAGTTGACCACTAAGGCGACCAGCCAAATGGCAGCACAGAGCACCCACTGAAGGAACATCCCTGGAAGTAAGACAACCTGGCATTACTTGGCAGAAAGATTCGAGTATATGCATGTTTAGGAATATCTGTAAGATGTTCTTAGAAGAACAGCCACAAATTAGGAAATGTCCCCACAGTGGGCATGTGGCACATTTATTCTTACAACTACTCTATGTCATAATTGACCCCATCTCAGATGCCAAGAAAGCAAATTTGAGCTTAAGTAACTTGGCCCCAAAGCTGGTAGGGACATTTTTAACTGGACTCTAAACCCTAGATGCTTGACTCCAAAAGTCCACAGTGTGTTCCTGCTTAGCATCCTATTTCACCTGTAGACAAATCAAGACATTTCTGTCAAAGAATTTTGAGGAGATGGAGGCTGTGTTTTCACTCAGACGCCAGTGTCATGGCCACTGCCAAAACATCCGTTGAGACCTTCCAAACCGTGCAGCAGTAACTTAAATCTCAGGATACAAGTGGCCATTTGTGGCTCACACTGCTGGAGTTTAATTTCTGTGATGAGACAGATTTTTACAAGCCTGAGATTCAGCCTCCCAGGCCAGGGCTCCTCTGCTTCTTATGATATAAGATACTGCTGGCCACTTACCTGAGGATGAACATGGCAGTGGCCATTCAAGGCTCCCGTACCATCAAGGCTTAGGGACTGAAAAGATCAAGGCTTAGGGGTTCAAAACCCACACTGAACGGAGTGCCAAGGAAGCTGCAACACCACGCTGCCACTTTTGATTCCACTTTTTTGTAGGACTTTTGTCTCTTTCTGTTCATTCTTACAACAGAGTAGAGGTAAAAAAAAAAAAAAATGTCTACTAACCTCCAAAACAACAAAACAGTATTGAAGAGGAAGAAAATCTTTATGCTCCAAGTGTGAAATTGGAAACAAAAAGCTGGTGAAACTTGTTTGGTTGGGGGAAACTCAGACCAGAGCACTCTAATATGTGCAGAGGCCTTAGTTTCAGTTTTCAGAAACACACACACACACACACACACACACACACACACACACACACACACACACACACACACATGGGACACGTGTTCAGGATCACAAACCCTGAAGCTAGGCCAGCTGCCCCTTCTGGTTATTTTTCTACTAGTTTCTATGCTTGTCAAGCTCCAGCCAAGGGGGGACAGATTTGTAACCCTGCTGTCTAAGGAGTATGAAGACTAAGGAACCAGGGAGATTTAACTATAACTGGCCTAGCGTGGTGGTACACACTTTTAATCCCAGCATTCGGGAGGCAGATCTCTGAGTTCGAGGCCATCCTTGTCTACAAAGAGAGTTCCAGGATAGCCAGGCTATGTAGAGAAACCCAATCTCCAAAAACCAAAATAAACCAAAAACAAACAAAAATAACTGGGAAGTTACCTCCCAAGAGGTGCTCACTGAGTAAGTTCACTGAGAAGTCCCTTCTGGCTTTAAAGGGAGGTCAGAGAGCAAGGGTCTTCCAAAGGCAAAAGTAACTCTTGCTTCCCTTCACTAACCATCAGCTTGTACTGTTTTGCTGCACGGTGACATACGTACGTGTTTCTAAAAATTACAGCGCTGTGCAAAACCACGCATTGAAAACCTCAAAACAGAACCAAATCTGGTCTGGGGATGACATGGAAAGACTGCACCAGCAATGTATTAAAAAACAGTTTGAACTAACGAGATGTCTAAGTACAGAAACAATGCACTCCACACAGCCCCTTAATTTAGAAGGTTTGTGAGGAGGAAGCACCATGAAGAACGAAGCCTGTGGACCACTGCAGGGCTGCCAGAATGGGGGTCTGACATCAGATGTGGGGGATCATGTGTGGTGAACTGAGAAAGCCCAGTGCTTTCTGTGTGTCTGTGAGTGCATAGGTGGTAACTTAGGAAACCTGGTGCACAGCTTTGTGTCGAGGAGTGTGTAGGTTTTGGTACTGCCTCGTGTCTTTCTTTAATGGGGAGTAGCTTTCTGTGTTAGCCTTTCATGGTTAGTTAGAGAAGAACTTGTTCACTGGTCAACAGGTGTGTATGGTGTTCAGATTGGTCTCTCATGTATCAACTGTGTTGAAAATTGGTTTTTGAATGAATGCTGAGAGCGGAACTGGCCATAATGTACTGATTTTATAAACACAGAGCCACGGCCAAGAAGCTTTTCCAGTGGTACCCACCTTGCTTTTTCATGGAGTACAATCTGGCCTCCCTGTCCTGACTCCCTCTTGGTGTACTACAATGGGCACTGGGAGATGATTTATGTGAGTTCTATTACTAGATACTATAATCAATAAAACAATTTTTAGCTGTTATTTTTAAAAGATAAAACAAAAACAAACAAGTAGCCAAGACACTTAAAAGCAAGTTTAGGTTAAAAACAAACAATTACCATCACCGGTGTCATATTTTTTAAGTGGTACAAAGTTGGATCCAAACAAGACAATTGCTACAGCAGAGGAGAGGTAGCCCGTGGTGAAATCTGTTCCGTTATTGCTCATGGTTGCAGGGGTGGCAGGACTGTCTTACTTTTGGTCTGTGTTTTTCAAGAGTTTCTGAAACAAAAGAAATAAAATGAAGGTGAGAAGCTGTGAACCTGTGAACCAGTTGTGATCAGGACACGAAGTCCATTGACCAAAAGCAGCTCAGGCTCCTTTTTTGCGGTTAGTCAGGTCATGTTGCAAAAATCTATCATTTTTTACAGGATGCTCACAATTCATGTGTTTCATTTGTTCTACCAATAATTTTTTTATTGCTAACTTATAATAAAATAAACCAAGTGTTTTTTTTTTTTTGAAAATCTAACGTTTTACAAGATCTGAATCCAATTTTTCCATATTACAAAGATGATTTCTCTGTAAAGCAGACTGGCATGGTGAACAAATTTCTGGGCTTGGACTCTATTTAACGGGTTGTTGTGTCAATCAAATTAAAAAGCACCCGAGAAGACTTTCAGAACAACGAAGTGCTTTGTAAGCAAAAGCGTTTGCTGTGTTCCAGACCCGAGCCTAAGGGCACATGCAGGTTGTATGGCCCATCGCAGATTCAGAATCCTATCTTTTCATTAGTATACCTAGAGTAAGCAGTAAGTCTGTAGCCAAAGAGTCTTGTCTGAGGTACAGCTCAGTGGTAGAGCATGTGCTTAAATATGCACGGGGCCCTGGGTTCAGTCCTTAGCACGGTGCACACACACAGGCATGCTGTATACATGTATAAAGAAACAAATAATCTAATTATTAATATTTTTAAGTCAAAGCAGAAGAAAATGCTTCATGAGTCTTGTGGAGTCTGAGCAGCAATGAGCTGTATAAGAGCGGCCTGCAGAACAGCGAGAGGCAGCTGGTTAGGTATCCCAGCTGTACAGTCTGGGAGCACCAAGCCACCTACAGATAACCAGGTTTTCAATAAAATTAGTCAGCTCAGGAAAAGGGAAAAAAAATTCAGGTCTTCAGCCAAATTTTGTTTCAAGTACTTAGTCACCACCCGTGTCTAGCAGCCACCAATCTGGACACTGCAGAAATTTTCCATCACTGCGAAAATTTCTATCAGATATCATTGCTACATACAAGTTCTGGTTCCCCAGTGAAGAGAAGTGACAGATGACTGGGGGAGGTGGCTCAATGGGTAAGGTGCTTGTGACATGAGTTCAGATCCTCAGCACCCACTTAAAAGCTGGAGAAAAGCATGTGACGGCACCTTCATGGCTGGGTGGGGAGGGAGCAGAGACAGAAAGGTCACAGGGGCTCAGTGGCCAGCCAGTCTAGCTTAAATGCTCAGTTTTAGATTCTGTGAGAGACCCTGTCTCAAAAAGTTAAGTGGAAGGGCTGGAAAGATGGCTCGGCAGTCAAAAAATCACTCGCTACTCTTCCGGACACCTAAGCTTTTGGTTCCCAGTACCAAAGTTGGACGATTCAACCATCTGTAAGTCCAGCTCCAGAGAACCCAACTCCCTCATTTGGCCTCTACAGGCATCTGCACACAGGTATACACACAGCCACAAACAAACATCCATAAATAAAAACAAAAATAAATCTTAAAAAAAATACTGCTTGCTTTGGCATCACAAATACTAAAGCTAAAAAAAGATACAGGGACGGGGCTGGAGAGATGGCTCAGTGGTTAAGAGCACATGCTGTCCTTCCAGAGGACCCAGGTTCAATTCCCAGCACCCACATGGCAGCTCACAACTGTCTGTCACTCCAGTTCCAGGGGACCTGACAGCCTCACATAACCATATATGCAGGCAAAACACCAACGCATATAATATAAAAATAAATTTTTAAAAAAAGATACAGGGAAAATTAGACTGGTCCCTGCAGCAAGGATGACAGACAAATTTCGTGGAGCATTTCATATTTTATAGAGTTTCTAATGTTCTCAGTTAAACAGTAACAATAAAGTAGAGAGCCCTGAAGGGAGACACTCATGTCTTCCTCTGACCCCCCCACCTGTGCACTCATATGCATGCACCCACACATACATCACATGCATGCACACAAGAAGAGAAGGATCAAGCCCACCAGTAACCAAGAGTCAGATATTTCTCAGTGGCAGAATTTGGAAAAGCCCGCTGAACGAGAGTCACTTTGGAAAGCTGCCATGGACTGAAAATACAGGTTTAGTAACTAAGAAATCATTTCTTTTCCGTTTTAATTAGAACAGGCAAAGCAAGCACATGGATAAGAGGACAGTGCCTAACCACTAACGGAGGCAGATTATTGGAGAGAAAAGAGGGCTCCACTAACAAATATTGACGGCCAGCCCCAGGTATCAGCCCGGATTGAAAGGATAGTTGGTAGTGCTGATCAGAGCACATGACCCCATTTGACTGCTGAGTCAGCTTCTGTCCGTTATTGCCTTAGATACACGACGTTCACTCACAGCACACAGCTCCCACATGTGTCAGAAAGCATGTGATCTAATTCCGTGTGTACTGACAATCCCAGGCAACCCCGAGGAAGGCTGCATGCACCTCGTTCTAAATCGGTGACATTTCTTTGATAAATAAAAGCATCATAACTTTACCAAGCATTTATCCCTAATTCCCTTTGAGCACAAACCTATCTCACACCACTCCTTTGAAAATCTTATTTTTGGCTCAGGTTGGTAGCAAACTAAAACCCAGCACTCAGGAGGCAGAAGCAGTCAGATCTCTGTGTTCAGTTCCTGCCTGGTTTACATAGTTCCAAGCCAACCAGGACTATGATAATGAGACCCCGATTTTCATTATTATTATTTATTGATTTCTTAAGTTAAACTCACAGCATGCTAGTTGAGCGCTCTGCTCAGCTGAAACCCCCAGCCCTTATTTTTACTTTTTTTTTTTTTTGAGACAGTCTCACAGGCTTTTCTAGACAGGCTTTAAACTTGTGATTTTTTTCCCCCACATTCATTTAAAAATTTTTTTCAGGACAATAGAACCATAAACATCACGTGGTTCAAGTAGCACGTGACATGCCCATACACGTTTACCTTAGGCCAGGTGTCAATCAGGCAGCAGCCATCTCAATAGTTCGGCATTTCCCCGGGGTTAAAGCTTTCAACATTCTTCAGTTGAAAAGTCTCAAGACCAAGTATCTTAAGGTTTACTTGTTCAGTGACCACTGATATTTTATTACACCACGTTAATTCTTTCTCTTCATTACATTTTCCCCTACTAATTTAAAGTTTTAATCAGCCCTTCCCCTCCCTCCAAGATAGTACCGGCTGCTCAGAGCAATACTGCCTGCTCTAGTTCAAAGATTTCATTTCTGGTTTCCTTTAGTTTCCTCCAATCTAAGGGCAGCTTCGGCTGTCTCTGGGCTGACGTCAGCGGTGCTGGCACGTACTTGCTCTGAGAGTTTTTCCTAGAAGCGAGTTACAGGGCAGTCCTCAGACCCAGGCGACCTGGTGGGTACTCACTGTGCGGGCAGCAGAGGCCAGCCCGGCTCTTCCTAGGACTTCCTGCCGGCGGCCGTCTGGGAAGGAGACCAGAGTCCCCTCCCAGGCAGAGGCTCGGGACACCCTCCCAGTGGAGGGCTGGAGCTCAGTCAGGTGACTAAGGAGTTGTCAGGCTCTCTGTCAATCAGCAAGTTAACCAGCGAGGTTCTTTGCTCTTAAAGAAGAGATATGTCAGGGAGTAGCAGCAAGTCACCTCCTCTTAAACATCACACCTTTATCTGTGTGGTTTGTGGAGAACCCAAAAACAGAGGCATTATAAAAAATGACTAAGTTACCCCAGTTTGTTCTTCCTTGTTAGGCAAATGCTCTACTAGTTGTACCTCCTCCCTCTTTTTTTCCTTTTTAAACTCCGAGACAGCTTCTCACAAGGTTGCCTAGACGGGCTTGCACTTACTCCACAGCCCAAGTGGACTTTAAGCTTGTGATCCTTCAGACTCAGCCTCCCGTGGAGCTGGGATCATGGGCCTGGACAAAGGCATCTAAACCACTAATGTGTGTGTGCAAATGTAGTGTGCACTAAGTGCCCTGTAGGACTGTCACCTTTGCGGCTTGCTGGCACATTGCAATGGCGGAGGAAGGTGGCTTTATACAAAACCACACGCTGGAGTAGCTAAAGTAAAGCTTGGCCCAGGAGTCAATTTCTTTGAAAATGTCCTCCAGGAAACTGGAGTGGGAAAGCAGGCTGTGAGTCCTATTTTAGATCAAGATTGTCCCACCTCATCAGTTATAGGAATCATCAGGGCAATGAGCTAGAGTGCACGCTCCTGATATCTGGTAGAGATTCTGAGAAAAAAAAAAAAAACAGCCACTAGTGTACAATGTAGATTTGCCTGCACTGGACCCTCTTCAGCAGCTGAGAATGTGTGTGTGTGTGTGTGTGTGTGTGTGTGTGTGTGTGTGTGTGTGTGTGTGTGTGAGAGAGAGAGAGAGAGAGAGAGAGAGAGAGAGAGAGAGAGAGAGAGAGAGAGAGAGAGAGAGAGAGAGCGCTCTCCTAGACAGCAGTGCTGGTACTGGTGCGGCAGAGGACACAGACATGGACTTGAAGATGAGGAAGTGCTAGGTTCCGCCCTAGTCTAAGTTTAAAGCAGGCCTCTTGGGGTGGCATTGAGCTGACGCCATCCACCAACGGGTCACATGAGGTTCACAGGAAAGAGAAGCAAAGTGGAGACGTTAAAGATAAGGTTTCCGGAAAGGAAGCCTTGCTTCCAACGCGGCATGCATCAGACATCCACACTGGGAGGCAGAGCGTTAATGAATGAAAGAAGCTAAGCATCTTCTTAAGTGAAATGATTAATTTAGCAACTGAGAATATTGAGAAACAACTCTCTGTTTATGGGCATACAGACTGTCGGCAGAGATTGCTTATTGAGTTCAGTTTTATGTACTTTACTATTAATTAATTTTTTTAAGTTTTCACATTAAATTGAGGGGTTTTAGCAACCTTACATCAAGCAAGTCTATCAGCATCATTGTTTCCCAAAAGTATACACTCACTACATGTATGTTACATTTTGGTAAACCCACATACTAGTTCAGTGGTTTGCATTGTTATTATCATAGCTGCTGTGCTGACCAGCCATCTTTCATGTCACTTTTCTAACTGTTTTTGGGGTACCATAAGGAAGACAAAGCTTTCTCCTCCTAGTGTTAGAGATGGAACGCAGGACCTTAGCACACACTAAGCAAACGCTTCTCACTGAGCTATGTCTCCAGTCCTTTGCCATCTTTATGTATTCTGGATATGAACCTTCAGATAAAAAGTTGGTAAATGTCATCTCCGGTATTGTAGGTTGTCTACACCCTGTTGTTCTTTGCTGTGCAGAACTTCTCAATTTGATAAAATCTTATCTGTCAGTTCTTGCTATCCTTTCCTGCGTTTGGGTGTACCTATTCAGAAAATCATTGCCTGCAACCAGTGTTTGGAAATGTTGTCCCTATAATACTTTTCTAGTGATTTCAGAGTATGAGGTTTTACATTTAGGTATTTGGTCCATTTCATGTTTACATATCTATTTATCTATCAATCATCTATCATCCCTCTGTGTGCATGTGTGTGTGTGCGTGTGCATATGACTTATGAACAACTATTGGCAAGTTGATGCGGCAAAAGAAACTCTTCCAAGCTGTTGGTGGGAATGTAAACTAGTTCTCCTCTGTGTACAACAGTATGGAGGCTCAGAAAAAAAAAGACAACATAAAAAACAGGACTCTGATCTTACTGGTACAATGCTTATCGAGCATGCTCAAGTCCCCGGGGATGCATCATGAGCACCAAGGAACAAGGAAATAACAACAAAAACTGAATCGGATCAAGCAACCCCACTTCTTCTGGGTACAAATCCAAAGAAAATGAGGTGAGCACACTGAAGACAAGCCTGTGTGCTCGAGTTTATTGCAGGACTCCAAACTGATAATGAAAATGAGGTGTATACATGCACAGACTCATTGGTAAAGGAGGATGAAGTCCTGCTGTTTGCAGAACAATGGATGGAGCTGGAGGATATTCCATTAAGTGAAATAAGCTAGACAAGAACTGAATGCTCTCGCTCACATGGAGACTGAGAAGTGTTGTCTCTCTAGTACAACAGTGATTTCAGGGACTGGGAAGGGTATGGGGGATGGTGGATTTGATTGGTGCATATTGTGTGCATGTATAGACACAGGTGGAACCTCCTAAAGAGGTTCAATCAATACATGTTAATACATGTATTAATGCAGGTACAATCAATACATGTTAACAAAAACAAATATAGGAAGTGCTACTCCAGTCAATGAACCAATGACACAATGAAAGAGCCTTCCTGCTAACATGGAGAAATTTTAGCTATTTAGATATACAATCAAGGTGGCCACAACATTCCCTTAGAGTGAACCCTGCTTCAGAGAGAAGCTCCAGCTCTCTTCAATTAAGGAAGACCTTGAGAAGAAGATGAAAAGAAACATTTTATGGTAACCAAGGTTGGTGCATAAGATGAAGACATGGTTTCCATAACAACAAGCAAGGCAAAGCAGCGGGTGCTGATGCCAAAGCTGCAGTAAGTTACCCAGAAAACCTTGCAAAGATAAACAAAGGATCACTATGCCACACAACGGATTTTCAGTGGAGAGGAAGCAATCTTCTCTTGGAGGAAGATGCCATCTAGGGTTGTTACAGTCAACACCTGACTTCAAAGGTCTAGGGAAGAGGCTGGCTAATGCTGCTGGTGATTTTAGTGAAACCAATATCCACTTATTAGGAAGGGAGCTAAATCTATCTGGCCTGTGCCCCAAGAATGGAACAACAAAGTCTGGGTGTTGGCAATCGGTTTGTCATATGATTTACTGGATATTCTAAGCTCTTAGTAGTGATAGGGAAGAAAAAAACTACACTTAAAATACCCAGGCACCCTCTTGGAAATGAATAAGATGCCTGCTAACACAGCATCTATACTGTGGTCAAGGAATAATGTTGAGTTTTAGGTCTCATTTACGGAACAGATTTCATAGTGCTGTAGTTGCCATAGGTAGTATTTTTTCCTATGCAATATAAGTTGAAAAACTTTTAGAAAGCCTTCACCATTCTGGTTGATATGAAGGCCAGTTGTGATTTATGGGGAAATGTCAAAATATCAACATGAACAGAAATTTGAAAGAAATTGGTTCCAGCCTTTGGGGAGAACAGTTAGAGTCTTGGGACTTTGGTGGAAGAGGAAAATTCATGGGACAGAAGCAGTAAGAGAATTATGATAGAGGTGGGGCCTGAAGATGCCGCCAGGGGGAGGGGAGCAGAGAATCTTGTATTGGTGATTCAACAGCGAGACTCAGAGGAAGTCAGATGTACAATACTGAGGAGAGGTAACCAGCTACATGACAGAATGTAGATTAGTATAAATGGGTTAATTTAAGTTTTAAGAGCTAGCTGGGAACAAGCCTAAGCTAAGGCCAAGCTTTCATACTTAATAAGAAGTCTCTATGTCATTATTAGGGAGCTGGCGGTCCAAAGTCTGACTACAGGGGATGCTACAGAAGTCTTTATTGGGGCTCTGCTGAATCTCAAGGGGAGCATATTTCAATGGCCTGGGTAGAGACCTAACATTCCAAGATACCCAAAACATGAGAGTTAATCCAGCTGGGCTGGTCAGTCACCAGGCTCAGAGACAACACCTGAGAAAGGCTGATTTACTTTAAGGAATGTTGAAAAGATGGGAAGAATAATTATTGCTTTATTGAGATAATATGGCTTTCTCACGCCTCTGGTGTGATCTTTATAGAGTGGCCCTCCATGAGGCTTAGTTACCTGTCTGCCTTTTTGAATCTGGTCTCAGAAAGCTGTAACTTTTCCTTTCTATTCTTTTCTGTCTCTTTCTTTAGGATTTTGGACAGAGAATACATATGCTTTCCCTGGTACTTTGGGCTTTCCCCTCTATTTCTCAGAAGCCACCCTCCATCATCCACAATGTGACTGCCTTCAAATGGCTGGGTTTCCTCTGCTCCATCCTCTTCCTCTGGGTAGCTGTGCACTTTGCAGCTTGCTTGTCCCAGTCCTTTTCTTTTAAACTTTCTTCAAGAGTGTTCTTATGAGCCAATTATTAATAAGCCTGAGAACCCAAAAGGGTAACCCACAAATTCCTTGTTAACATATGGCACACTGGTGAGACACTTTAGAATTTCCATTTACACCTCCAAACCTCCTTACCAATAAGGAGCAATAGTCCTGCTTGCTCTCTCTCTCTCTCCTCTCTCTTTCACTCTCTCCTTCTCTCTCTCCTTCCACTCTGACTCCCCCCTCACTCTCTCCTCCTCTGTCTGTCTGTCTGTCTGTCTGTCTCTCTTATATGCATACACACTTAAATGTAGATTCTGCATATGAGAGAAGATGCTTGAATGTTCTTTGTTT